TAAGATGGGGAAAGATAGAAAGTTTAGGGTGGGAGTATGGTGCCTTCGTTAAGCATTCCCCCAAAGAAGTAACATTTCAGACTGCCTCTTTGTCTGGTGTCCTGGAGATTTTTACACCCCAGGTCAACGCACCTTTTTGTAAGATTTAGAATGGGTGGAGAGTGGGCTTTTCTTTTGAAAAGCGGAAGAAGGAATCCTATACAAGTGAAGTGACAAAGGAAACCCCATGATAACAGGAAGGAGCACATGGAAGTGGAAGATCTAGAAACGCATTAAAAGCATACATTTCTACGGAGCACCTGCACATCATTCCCGTGCGCAGGTGCTCTTGCTGGAAGGCCACTCCTCGAAGTCACGCATCAGCTTGAATCCCTTCCCTCCACTCTCCAGCCAGGCACTGGCCAGATGATTCCCACCTTTTCTCATTCCTGTGGGTGCTACTCAATAACACTCAAACTCACACAAACGTGCACCACTGTCCTTTCAGTGTTTACTACCTGCCACGTGTGCGTCCTGTGCTAAAGGACGCAGGGGTGAGACACATCCCCGCCCCAGGTGACCTGGGACACAGGAGAGGCTGAGCAGCAAAGCAGCAACCTTGGGCAGGGTGTGGGGTGCTCAAAGCAGGGGCAGGAACCAGCTGCACAGATAGAGGAGATTAAGCCTGTGAAGGGGGTGCTGGGAGGGAAGGCCTCACAAAGGAGGGGCAGACTCAGAGAAGGGTGACCACCCCAATATCTGAAACATGAGAAAGGCCAGGAAGAAAGGGTGACATTTTGGGAATAACACTGCTGCTTGAGTGTAAAATGCCGGTGGGAACCGTGGCCAGAGAGAAGGCAGGCTCCCCGCTGGCACTCCCTGACACAAAGGCCTTGATTTCCTCCCGTTTATTGGCGGCTCCCCTTAGTCACAGCAGAGAACAGGCCCGAGAGCAGGGAGGGTTTCAGTTGCCTGGAGCAGTGCTGCTCAGCCTGACCCCCACACCTTCTGCACCTTCGACTGCTTTGGGGGAGGACTGCTAACAGGTGGCAGTGCCCTCTCACCCCTGCAGCTACCAAAGACTGATCGGAGTGGTCAGAGTGGTTGGGGGTGGGTCATCAGGAATTTTTAAAATAGATTTTATTTCTTTCAAGGGGGGTGGGGGAAGCAAGGGAGGGGAAACACCAATGTGTGGTTGCCTCTCGCGCGCCCCCAACTGGGGAGCTGGCCTGCAACCCAGGCATGTGCCCTGATTGGGAATGAAACGGATGATCCTTTGGTTCGCAGGCCAGCACTCAATCCACTGAGCCACACCAGCCAGGGCTCACTGGGCATCCTTGGTGAAGCTGATGTGCCTCTCCGGTTGAGACACGGGCGTGGGACATGCTGGGGAAACCCAGTGTGGGAAGCAAATACTCCTGGCAATGCTGCAGGGAGAGGCCATGCGGATGCCAGGGCAGCGCAAAGGCTGTGAGGCTCACAGGGGCCCCCAGAAGGTACGCCGCCCACGGGGAAGGTGGTTCTGACGAGGGCGGCCATTCTTGGTTTTTGCCAGGGGCCACTCAGGCGGTCTCAAAATAATACCATCAAATGCAGACCGTAATACCATTTTATAGTTTATACCAAGTATTCAAAAGTTCTTTTTTCCCTCTACAACTACTACAGGAGTGGGCAAAAGTAGGTTTACAGTTGTGAATAGGGGAGTCTGTTCTTGTAATATTACCATGTTATTTATTTGTGTAAATAATGAAGGCCAACCATTTGAGCATTTATGAGATCGTACCTAAGGGAGCTGTGCACCGTTTCATTCTTTTGAGTTAACTGTTACTGTTATAATCATAACCTTTTTTCCATACAAGTAACTGTAACCTTCCTTTTGCCCACCACTCTATTTACATAGAGAGCTTTCTCCATCTCTGGTAGCTGACCTTGCAGAAACACGTTGCGTGTTCATCTGCACATCTGCCACTTTGGCTTCTTGGAAGCCCCAGCCATGCACAAGGACTGGCGGGTGCAGCGTGCAGCTCGCCCGAGCATTTCACGTGCCCTCCGGGAAGCCTGTCCCACTAAGGGGCCGACAGGGAAAGACTTCCAGGCTCTGGGGAGCCTTGGCGAGGCCTTCTGACAAGCCTCAACACCTCAGCTCCCACCTTCAGAGGAATGATGTCTGTCAGTTCAGTGTTGTTATTAATTAATGAATCCAAAAGGGAAGAAAAATCCTGCCTCCTCTGTGCCCCCACTTGAACTGCAAAAGCACCTCGGACGAGCAGTGCGGCCACAGCGCAGGCTGTGGGGCACGTGAGAAAGCTCGCGGACAGCTGGGCACACTCAACGCCTTCTTATCAGATAACCCAGGGAAACTGGGTGAATTTGTCAGCTTGGTAACAATTAGCAGCTTCTTAAAATACAAGTTTCTGATGTGATGTCATTTAGATTTGTTTCCTTTCACTTCAAGGCTGCAGAGAACTCAGGCCCAGCTTCTTATTTCACGAGCACACAGGAACTGGGGACATGGCAGGGAAGGCGACCAAGTCACTGCCAGGCATTTCTACGTGGCCTACTAGACGGCGCCAGCATTTGCCTGGCCATTCGTGTCCTGTAGCCTGTCCAGTGACAGCTTCTCTAATTCTTTCACACTTTTGATTACTAATGAGCCTTCCCTTTACTTCTAATCCAGTGGTTTTCAACTGAGGGTTACTAGAATTCTCCTTGGAGCTTTAAAATAATACAAGTATCCAGGTCTTAACTCAGACCTCCACAACGTAAAATTTGGATTAGGGCTGCGTACATACACATTTTTAAAATACCTGTTGGGGATCACGGAGTGGTCTCCTAGGTTAAAAAGTCCTTCCTAGGCCATTCTTTCCTGACCCATTCATTGCCCGCCTCTAGCTCACTCAGCCTTAACTCCTCGGCTGCAACTCACCCTCTACCCAATAAGCCAGTCTCTATCCAATGTTTTAAAGAAGGCAAATACTAACCCAAATGAGAGTTTTAAAATATGATGGATATTTTAGGCAAGGAAGTTTGTGGTTAACCAAAGACACTGGTTTTCCTTTGAAAAAATAGGCATGGATTCTTTTTCTTTTACAAATTGTTTAATTGATAATTCAGCTTCGGAAATAAAAATAACTTCTAAAATGAGAGTATAAACATGTTTATTAAGTGTTTTTCAGAGTTAATCTTTCTTCATTTATTAGCAGATAGTACTGGTCTATTCTTTTGCCTGAACATTGTAAAGAAATTAAAATTTTAGATAGAGGAGCTACTGTACCCATCCCAAAACACTGCAAGTCCCCCTAGTGGCCTCAAAGGCAGAACGACTTCCCAGTTTTTCCTTAATGTCTATGGCTGGAATATAGCACCTGCGTGAAGTAAAACAAGGAGTCAGGTTTCCTTTAAACATCACCCAAAGTGTTTGGCATTAAACATAAGGACTTGGGTATTTCAGGAATTTTCTAACTATCAAATACTTTATAAAAATGAAGCAAATTAAATGAAATTTATAAAGGCTGAAAGTTTTAAATGGGCCAATGTAGTATAAGTATAAAGTTACCAGTTATGAATGGAAAATATCACATTTCCAGCTGTTGGTGGAAATCCATAAAAATCTGAGAAAACAGACTGTGAGTAACAGGCACATTGCTGCTTTTCTAGTAACACTTGACTTGCTGTTTGCAACTGTTTTTGTTTGTTTATAATCCATTTCCTGATCATTAAGGACTCAGATATAAACAGAATTCCTGCTTTATTCTCTACAAGCTGTCAACAAGACAGAAAACAGAGAGAGGGGAGTCACAGCATATGGCAGCTCAAGCATTAGAACAAACGAACATTCAGGAGATCAGACGATGCTGGGAGCATGTGTGGCGTCCTCTGTAACGGGCTTCCGGTGTGGACGCAGCGCTCATAGGGTCGGCACCCAAACACCGCGGTGACCGCACACCGAGTGCTGGCAACAGCGTCTAGTCATTCCTACTGCACAAAATGAATTCGCCCAAAACGTGTAAAGGGTCTGCAATTCAAGAATTTATCTCTACTGCTGCAAAGAATAAGTCCTTCCGTACTAACTCCTTCTCCTGACCTGGTAAGAAAACCGAAGGCATAAAGTTCGGCCTGGTGAGTGACGAGGGTGCTGGTTTCTGACTCATCTCCTGTTATGAACTGTTACTACAGACACCTGTGTATTTCAAACAGCGCACTTGTCTGCAGTCATTCTTGAGAACCTATACTAACAAGCTCTAGGAAAAGCACAGAAACCTGAAATCACTGCTTCATTCTAAAATACTCGTTTCACCTTACGATCCCACCTTCCTCTCTGGCAATCAGACTGACTGCTGTGTTATCTGAGGTCTCTACTTTGGAGGATAAATAAGGCATTGAAATCTATCTGGACTGCATAGTTCTAAACAATGAAGAATTGACTATAATCTCTATGTAAAAATGTTTAAGTACTAAAGATATTTTGGGTAGTCTGGTTCTATTCCCTGGAAGTTCCATCTCACAATATGAAATTCAGCTAAAGAGACAATAGTACCATTTATACTTAAATATTGCTAATCTTTGGATAAGCAAGAAAATAAAACACTGATACTCCAAGCATATTTCCCTAGTGATAATCACATAAGCATATTAGATACAAGAATATTTTTAAAGGTATCATTTACCAATTTTTTTCCTGGTCTTAAATCTTGTATTTTGGAATTTCCCATCTTGTACTTTTTTTGTCCCTAGATCCTCCTAATTTTATACTACTCAAGTAATTTACTTTATCAAAGAAAAAAACCCGCTATTTCCTTGCATGTAGCTAACAATGCGGAAATGAAGAAACCTATTTATGAAGCACACTGAATCCTAAGCCGTAGAAACTGAATTTCAGCCTGTAACATTGCTGGCCGTAACTGAGCTGTAAAACCTTTCCCTTCACTTAACAAGGATTGATAGTTTTCCACTGCGTGGGGCGGGTCCGGGGGCGGGTCCGGGGGCGGGTCCGGGGGCGGGGCGGGGGCGGGTCCGGGGGCGGGGCGGGCGCGGGCGCGGGCGCGGGTCCGGGCGGGCAGCGTCGGCTCACAGGTCGCTCTCGCCGTAGAGCGCAGAGGAGAAGGCGGCGTAGTCCAGCGCGCCAGGCACGGCGCCCGGGCCCTTGTAGGCGGGCATGCGGCTCAGGCAGTACTGCGCCTGGTCCGGGGGCAGCTCGCGCCGCAGCTCCTCCGCCAGGATGTAGGGCTGCAAGAGACGGGGGGTGCCGGTCAGTCGCGGGAAGCCGGCAGCGGCGTGCGGCGGCGGCGTCAGGCGCGGAAAGCTCTGCGGGCCGCCAGCCCGACCGGCTTCCTCACCCCGAGCCGCCGCGGGGGGCGAACACTGGGACCCGGCCCCCGCGGCGCCTTGTCACCCTACGAGCCCTGTCGGCGTCTGACCTGTGTGACCTGTCGTCAGAAAAGGGAGGCGTTTCCTGCTCGGCTTACTAAAACGCGAGGAGCAGGCTGCAATGGAGAAAACCTCCCTCTAGAGTAAAACTGGCATTCAAAAATGGACTCTTTTTTAAATGTCACACGTCCAACAGGAAATAGGATAATTCTGGTAAAACAGACTGGCTGGTAAGTGTCACAATAAATGAATAGCAAACGTCATAGTGTAATTTATAGAAGGGTTTGGGGGGCTTCCATGAGCCATGGCTTGCCTCCTAGGCCAGGTGGACTCTCCTCCACCTCCTCCCCATGATAAAGGATTCATCCTAAAATAAACATGGCTGTTTTCATGACATTTTACCTTCTCTGATGGGGTACGGGAGTAGCATGGCCCTGCTAATGTGTTTTATCACCTCCCTTCCTTCTCTTCCCACCCAAAACACCAAAAGGTAACAGAATCACATACCCCCAACTAAATTTACAGCCACGGAGATGTTTTTCGTGTCTGGGATGATACAAGAATTCTGGACTTGCCATGAAAAGCTTGCCAATTTTTTTTTTTTAACCACTGGACAGCTCCAATGTGTGGACAAAAAGTTAGGGTCATTGATCCTTAAGAAAAGGTCCCAGGTCCCTACCATCTGAATTGTGCTGTTCCTTAGCAGCCTTATCTAAGAACTCAGAATGCAAAATGGGGTGGAACCAGTAAAACACACCAAAAAAACTAAAATACACACTCTTGGTTCCTCCCATAAACTCACTGAAGCCCAAGATCAAATTTCGGGAGAATGTGTTTTTCTGGTCTGGGCAAACCACTGCTCTTTCCCTGCTGCTTTCCGAGTTCAGTGCTGCTGCCGTACAACACGCCCTGGTGTCAATGGGTTTTCCTCGCAGTGCTGTTTCTGTGTGTACTGGAAGGATGCCGTGGGCGGGAGCAAACACAGAAGAAAACGTGTCTGTGCAGACCTTATCGGACGCCAGGATGCGGAAGGAGGCGATGACCTGCTCAGCCGTGTCCGTGTCGGCCGTCTCTCTGGTCATGAAGTCGATGAAGGACTGGAAGGTGACAGTGCCCTGTCCGTTGGGATCCACCAGGGTCATGATGCGGGCAAATTCGGCCTCGCCCTGCGGCAAGGTTGCAAAGGAACGTTTACTTCAACAGCACCCAGTGGTGGGCAGAGCCACTCTTCCCTACTGCCTGCAAGTGCCTTTCTGTGTGAAAACTTAAGTATTCCTGCATCCCCCTCAGTCTTTGGAACAATTCCCAGGGTGACCTAGGTTCTCTATCTGCCAATGACTGTAACAGCTGTGGCTTCAAGCCAGAAGCTCCTGAATATCAGACTTCCTTTCGCCCTGGGACCCACAGTCCTTCAGGCCTGAACATAAGAAGAGAAATTCAGGGAGAGTTGGGCCCTTTCTAGACAACTGAGAAGAGTAACATGCTAAATAGAGGACAGTTAAGAAGATGGTTCTCATGATGTATTTTCAAGGTCCGAGAGGCAGCTCATGTTAAAAATATACATTAGTGGATAACAGAGAAGAGAGGTGAGTGGCACCATCGCTGCCCACAGGGAAATGTAAGACTTTCTTAGTGATGTATTACTAAAACCCTCTAAAATATTAGAGGAAACACCACTTAAAAATATCAGGATACTATAAGCCACTGAGTGTATACTTTAAATGGGTGAATTGTATAGTATGTGAATTATATCTCAATAAAGCTGTTAAAAATCAGGAAAGGTTATGTTCTCTCCTTTCACTGAAAAATATCTGACTGCCCTGGCCAGGTAACTCAGAGCATTGTCCTGATACACCAAGTTACAGGTTCAGTCCCCAGTCAGGGCATATATAAGAATCAACCAATGAATGTATCAATAAGTGGAACAATGAATCAATGTTTCTCTTTCTCTCCCTCCCTGCCTCCCTTCTTCTCTCCTTCTAAAATCAATTTTAAAAATCTGATCAATTACTGAATAAAAATACATGTTCTAGTTCTGTGAAATTACTTTATAGTGTAGCAGTCAACTTTGAAAAATACTATCCTACTCAATGACAATAGATCAATCCCAAATGTGCTACTGTCCTTTATGGCAGTCACCTCCTATAATAAATCCAAGCTCAATAAAATATCAAACCTTTGTGAAATTTCCACTTCTGCCTTACCAAATCATAGCCCATGGAAATCAAGCAAGCTCTGAAATCCTCGTGATCCATCAGGCCATTCTTCCTCTGCCAACAAATATAAACAGAGAAACTGAGACTTAGAGGCAAATGAACAACTCTACTTCATCCACGGGAGAAAACCCAGTAAGAAAGGGGACACCTGGAGCTTTGCCCAGAGACTGTGAAAGTCACCACTGACTGTCAGGAAGACTGGAGCCAACACAGAGATGTTACCAAATGATTTCTCAAAAAGGGAGAAGGGAGGTAGACAACAGACTGAAAAGCAAAAAGACCACACATTCAAGAAAGTGAAAGAAGGAAGTGCCCAGTGTCGTGGAAAATGATCTAGTCAGGAGCTGACAACTGCCACCCACTTACCACAGAGCACACCCCCACCACTCTCAGGCCCTGGCCGGGACGGCGTGGACCTGTCCGTGAGGCAGACTGGGACTTAGCCCCGATCCTGTGAGGGTCTACACAGCACAGCTCACAGAGGGGCCAGGGGACAACCTTCCCAGTGGTGCGAAGGCCGGGCAGGACACATGGTGTCCCAGGCTCTAGTGACACAGGTGTCCACCCAAGCCCTAGGGGTGCTGTGGAACACAGGCTGCGTTGAAGGTGTCCTTGAGGGTTCTCAGAGGACAGCTAAGGTGCAAGCACCAATATAAAACTAAAGATAAGAAAACACTTTAATTGGCCAAGCCGGTAATAAGTAGAGGTCATTTTCTGGGATTTTCATGGTCCCAAAAGCTCACATTAGAGGTTCTTTTTTCTGTGAATGTTCTCGCACCTCTGTGATCGGCCCTCAGTCACCCCTGCCTCTCTCTGCAGCATCTCCAAAGCGGTGCCTCCCGCTGTGGACAGGCCTCCCTCCCTCTCACCACCGGCTCCCTCAGGATTCCTGCTCCAGCTCTCCTCCCTCCTCTCAGCGGGGTCGTTCCCTGCGATCTGGGCCTTCTCTCTCCTCGCTCTCTAGACCTTCCCTTGCCAGAGATGACCATGCGGTTTCAGCCTGAAGTCCAGAATGGGATGCCTCACTGTGCAGGGCACCTCCAATACAGAAGCACCCCTTTTCTTATGTTCTCAAGGCTCAGAATTTTCAGTTAATTTTTAATCTTTCCCTTAGCTTCCTGTCATTAAATTGTCAGATTTCTGTGATAACTGACCTGTCTGTTCTCTTCTCCTCATTCCCAACACTCTCTCCCTCAGCCCAGAAGTTCACATTCCTCCGCCCTCACATCTGACCCTCTGCCCCCTTTCTCTCCCCTCCCCGACCCCTGCAGCCCCACTCACCCACAGCTGCCAGGGGCATTTTTCCGAAGCCAGCTCCTTCATACCTACCATACCTCCTCTACAGCCCTAGCAGCATGGCTGCAGGCCCCAGCCATGGATCTGCTATTCCCGTCTCCCCTTTTTAATGAGAAGAGGAAACGAAGTGGATTGTGTCCTTGACACCGCTCCCCATGACTTCCAGCAAGCTGTTTCCCTCTAAGACACATACGGTTAACGTTTAATTCAAATGAATGTTCAAACTTGGAAGGTTCTGCACTGGCCTTTTTTGGACCTTTGTTGCAAAGGACAGTCTCCTTATCTTGGATTCAAGTAAAGATGTCTTTATCTGTGACGTGGCCCAAATGAGCGAGGCCTGTCCAACAAGCCCAGGTGGGTTTGTGCAGGAACAAGGGCCAACTATTTCCCTCCATGGAAACCTGAATGTCAATGAATGACGTCAGGGCAGCACTAGAGCATTTCCACACAAAGAAGCCGAAACCAGGCCAACTTCCGTCTCCAAATCCACATGTAATTCTTTACTTAGGCCTCAGCTCCCTGATCAGAAGTCTGCTGTCTGGGATCTTTAATGGGCCTGCATTTGGCTGGCCCAGCCCACAGGCATCTTAAGAACCATTTAGTGATATTTGTAAATCACTAACAGGGTCTGAAACAAAGTAATGACATATCCTTTTTTCAGATCTTTAACAAATTGAATGTGGCCTTCATGATAAGCAAACTGGGAATTTTCTTATAAATAATTGGTTTTACTCAATACTGAAATGAAAATACACAACTTTTCATAAATGATCACCATTTTGTTGGTGCATTTTCCTTAAAACATTTCAAGAGTCGATTTTGTTAATTAAATAGGAAAACTAAGTTTTATATGGCACAAGAACAGGTTGTATTTCTATCATGTACTTTACCTAAATAGTTACTTAGGAAAACTACCTCAGAGGTTTGGGTTAAGTGACCTAAATCCAACAACCACATTTTTTTAAGGGCAAATGTTCTCTTAGAACAAATCTAGCTTTGCTGCCAAGTACAAAGGGATTTACTGAGTCACCTGCACACAACCGTACACAATCCTAGACGTCTGTCGCCTGGGCAACAGCAGAGCTTAGCACACTTCCCTGCGGTGGTTATTTTCCTGTGGCGTTGATCATCCTCTGTCCCGCTAACCTTCCTAGGGCGTTATGGCTTAAATAACAGTATGAGTATTATCTTAAACATATGAGAATGTCCCCAGGACAGCCCTTCAAAGAACTCGAGGGGAGGTACCCGGTCAAAGTGGTTGAAGGAGGCTCTGAACTCGTTCATCTGCTCCTGGGTGATGCCCTTAGCGTCCCGCGTCAGGATCTGCGTCTCCACCTCGTTGATGGTTCTGGCGATGGTCGTCAGCAGCAGCTCCCATCCAACACGAATGTGCTGCCAGGGAAAGGAATGATCAGCAACAGGGGCTGCCAGCACGTCACTCTTGGCCAAAGGGAGGTAAGGAGGCCTACTACAGCCTTTCCTACATTGGTTTACTCCACTTTTTGCAAGACCCTGCAGTGGGAAATACTCAAAAGCAAGGCCAGGTTCTAACAGTGACAATTGACACCTTGTAAACAAAATACACAATGCTCAGTGTCTTTGTCACTAGAAATATCTTTTCATTTCCAAAGTAGCAGGAGGGGCCTTGATTATCCCCACTGGCTCCTCGGGAGAGCAAACTGGGTCAAACCGATAGACATGTAACTTCCGGTTGTCTCTCTGAAGCCATGCAATGAGTTCCCATTGTGATGATGTTGCAGATGATACAAATACATAGTGCTTCTTAAATAGCTCACAAGCCTTTTCACAAGTGGTGATGGAAAGATCCCTACCTTCCACACCTGCAGAACTTAACAGGGCCAAACGAGACAGGTGTGGGAGAAAACACCGTGAGTGAGATGGTCACAGTAAGGAACAGCAGCGCAAGGGTGTGTGGTGCCTGTACCTCCATGGTGTAGTTCGTGTGTCTGTTGTCGAAGACCAGGGCCTCCTGGATGAGCTGGTGGTCTCCCTCAAGCTTGTCGATATTGTTCTTGTAGTTGATGATGTTGTGCTCGTATTGCTTCAGCTGATTCATCTGGTCCTCCAGGGACGCTGTGATCTGGATGGAACTCCGGGCGATCTCCTGACGCAAAGCACAGGGCAGACACAGGTGAGCGGGAGTCAACAAGCCACTCTGCTGAGGATGCTATGCCAGCAGCAGCCAACAGGGCTTTGCTTTCTCAGATGAAGTGAGAAACAGGAAAGTGCCACAGAACAAAACTAGCTCTAGTTCTGGTCCATCTAGAAAACGAGAGAAATATCAACTAGGATCAAGAAAAACAAAGCAAGAGGGGTAATAAAAGGGTCGCTCCAGCCTTGGTGCAGAGGAGGAGGCTCCCGGCCACCGGGTCCCGGGATCAGCTGTACCAGCAACTGCCGCACAGGTCCGGACGGTGGCCCACGAGGGGAAAGAATTCCTTCCAGCGTCCAATGTTCTCCCCTCAGAAGAAAGTTAACACTTTATCACCAAAAGGGAGATTGGGAGAAACAGAAGGGGGCCACCCCATGTCCCCTGGCTGCTCCTGGTGAGAAAATGAACCCAGGAATCAGTGTTGCTCAAAGACCACTCTTCCTTCCTTAAAGTTCTGAAAGTGCAGTGTTTGTGACTCTTCACGTGTCCTTCCTCCTCAGGGCAGATGGTTTACAATCCAGGTCCTACAGACATTAAAACTGAGAAAAAGCCCCATCATCATTTTTAATGACAGAATGAACGGGTGGGCAGCAAGAACCACCTCGCCCCCTTAAGTGGGCCGCCCACTGCAGGGCCCATGGGCACAGCGGCTGCCGAAGCCGGGGGCCAACCAGAGCTACGGCACTAGAGGCACCACGGCCGTGTCAGCTCGGGTACTGACCTCCAAGTCAGGAAAACTCTCGGAGGGCACCAACCTACCTCCATCTTGTTCTGGATCCAGGGCCCGATGGCATTGGCCTGAGCGGCAAACTGGCGCCGCAGGCGCTCATTGGCGTGCTGGCGGGCCAGCTCCTCCTGCAGGGACTGATCCCGGATAGGCACGAGCTGCTTCACCTGTCAGGGCCCAAGGGCAAAGGGGTCAGAGGCCAGCTTTGGTCCAATGGGGAGACCAGGGGGTGAATAAATGGTCCAAAGGGTGGGAATGGCAGGTGAGGGGGAGGGGAAGGCGAGGAGGGGGTGGAGAAGGTAAGGAGAGGAAGGAGTGTGGGAGTCCCAACTCTAGGACTAAAGGGAGAGTCCATTCTAGCTCTGACTGCCCCTCAGGGCCACCCAGTATCTGCTTAAGGCTGGATAGGTGTGTGTTAGGGACAGCGGGCTGGGTGCATCTGCATCAGGGACACTGACATTCCTCTCAGTTGCAGCTCTCAGCCCACGGGACAGGCACAGGGTACAGAGGATTTGTGAACTTTAATGAGGGAAAACTGGCATCTTTAGTTTCACTGCCTCTAACTGAAAGTTAGCAGTTCCCTGGACATGAACATGGGCAGCAAGTCCACAGTTGGGTTTGGCAACACTGTGACTGCATCACAACAGAAACCCCAGGCAGTCTCGTGCAGCGTCAGCGATCGCCTGCCTCTCGAAACGCCGCGGCTTCCGCAGCCTTAGACCTGCCCTCAGACCTCGGTTTCAATGTGTTAGCAAGAAGCACATGCATGACTACATCCCAGCTTTAAAACATATTTTCATGACTATATTTTAATGTAATTTCTTTCTGTTGTAACCTTTAAGTATCTATTTTAATTTACAAATGTTATTATCAGGAGGGATCCACAGACTTCCCCAGGCTGCAAAAGGGTCCAGGACGCAAAAGCCAAGGACCCTGGCTCCGTCCTGTGGGATGCTGGCGCATGGGAAGGGACCGCGCCCACCTGCCCCTGCGTCTCCGTTCCACTTGTGCCCTGAGATGTGCACTTTAATGCTGTCCTCTGTTCTCTTTGAATTAACACACAAGAGCTACTTCAGAAGTTTTTTTTGTGTCTTCTGCAAAACAGCTGCTGAAGACATTATTCAACTTCCCTTTTACAGAAATCCTTGTGGCTAATTTGCTTTATAACAGGGAGTGAAGAAAAGTTCATCTCACTCAAAGTCATGGTATTTCCCTTTTTTCAAGGTATCTGCTTAGCTGAACGCGTCCCCCTTCACTTGGCCGTCAGAAGACCAGGGCTGAGTGTGGCGCTCCAGGATGCGGTGGCTCAGCACCGCCCCTGCCCAGGCCTGGCTCCCCCTTTGCGTTGTTTCTAGGCACACAGGCACTGCGTGCGCGTTTCCACAGCCGCTGGGGCTCACTCCTTCACGACTGGGTGAGCGCGTGAGGTGACTGTGCTGCAATCTTAACATGAAAATGAATCTTTCTTAAGGATGAAACAAAAGGCTCCAATGAGCTCATTTTCACTATCACTGAATTTTTTTTAATCCTCTCCTGAGGACATTTTTTCATTGCTTTTAGAGAGGAAGGGAGAGTAAAACATTGATGTGAGAGAGAAGTATCCACTGGTCACCTCCTGCACATGCACGGCCCAGGGCGATTGGCCCCTGGACTGAGAGTCACATGCACCTGAGCCTGGACTGGGGACTGAACCTGCAACCCAGGTATGTACACTGACTGGGAATCGAACCCACAACCTTTTGGATACGGGATGAGGTTCCAACCAACCGGGCCACACTGACCAGGGCTATCACTGAATTTGAGGGCCGTTTCCCACAATTTAAAAGGCAGCAAGTTAGGAAGAGTAATTTCATTCCCCAGACATAGTTTTCTAAGCAAGTCTTCTGAATTGAAAATGCACACACATTTGGGACATGTTTATACCATGTTCTAAAAATTCTTTAATGAAGCACTACAGGCAAGATGATGCTACCAAATTTTTAGCTGGGATTTAAAAATGGTTTCCCTTATGGTATCAGTATCATAACCTTTACAGATTTTGCCAACATTTAAAAGATTTTCCCAAAGAAAAATCATCTCTACTTTCCTCACAAACCACAGATATTGCTGAATGGAATCTAAGAATTTAACATATTTTGTCTGTGAAATTTAGGGTAAATGATGCAAACTCAGGCAGTCACCTCCCCCTCCTCCCCTGGGGGTTTTTACACTGCCCTCAGGCTTGGCTTCATGAAGGCCCCGCCCCCACGCCCCGGCCCCGCCCCCACGCCCAGGCCCTGCCACCCACCTTCTCCCACTTGGTCCGGAGCTCGTCCATGGTGACGGTGCTGTAGGGGTTGCTGGAGCTGATCCTGATGCTGTAGCTCTGGATCACCTTCTCCACCTCGTTCTGGATGGCCATGATGGACTGCCGCTCGCCGTCCGCCTCCGGCAGCGTGGCCTTGAACTGCTCGTGGGCGGTGATCAAGCTCTAACCAGGGACAGGAGGAGGGGAACCGATCTTACTTATGTGAACCTCACAGTCTCCCACGTTCCCCTTCCGCACATGTAGAAATGCCTTTGGAACTGCAAAAACCTCCGGAGGAAAACAAGTTCTGGATGTTTCAGAAAAGCTATTTTGTGCACAACAGTCAAGTTCCTTGAAATGGAACAAAAGATATCATGACTATTTAATTGATGGCTATAAATACAAAGTCTTCAAAAAACAATGTTGTCTTTAAAAAAAAAATCATATTTGCTTTCATTATTTTCAATCCCCAGCTATTGTTTGGGCCTTACTCTCCACTGAGGAAAACTTAACTTCGCTGCCCTTTCTAATGACAGTTTTACCTTGCAAGTCCAACAAAATAACCCAGCGTTTGCTGGCTTTAGACCACCTAAAGACCACCAGGAAGTATATCCCTTACTAAAACAAAACAAAACAAAACTCTGTGAAGACCAAATCTTCCTCTTAAGGTTTCATAAAACTTCCATCTAAAAACCGACCCCTTGGCGCTGACCTGTGAGACAGCAGCCCCCTCAGTTCAGCTGCCCGCAGACGGCACGTGGACCACCTTCCAGTGCAAAGTAACATTCGCTTCAGGCGCTGCCACAGCCCAGCTGCCAGCACTTTGCGTTAAACCAAGACACAGCTTCCGGCATTGAGTGTGGCTCCCCGGCATCTTAGAAGTCTCACTGACTCCAAACGTAAATGAGTTTAGGTTGCTAATCTCTAACAGAGTGACCGCCAGACACACCATCACAGCCTCTTCCACAAGGCAAATGCAATGTTCAATAAAGTAACTTCTTCCCCCTTCCACCCAGGTGCAAACCCTTCTAGAATGTCTCTTGGCAAGGAGAAGTGGGTTCAAATCCCAATCTTCAGTGTCTCCTTTATACTTGGATTGTTTTGATGACCTATCTATTTTACAGAAAAGAGAATTTTAAAGTATTTTATTTTTATATTCTATTACACATCAAAATCACCACACAATGGTCCTTAAACATATTGGGTCCTAGCTATTGGAGAGGGACTCTCCCTGCAGACACTGCCACTTGGCAGTCTGGTTTACAGCTTTAAATCCAGAAGAACGAAGAAGATTTGTATTGTGGGAGGCAGAAGATACTGATCTGTGGTTTGATTCTTTACAATCTGGCAAAACTCAGCAGATTTTAGTAAACAGTAATGTGCACAAACTCTGCGTCATAGTTAACTCACTAGCAAGGAAACTCATAACTTCCCATGAATAACATCAAGAGCATTCATGTCTATTTTACTCAATTATCCCACTTTTTTTGTTAAAGAACAGATCCTTTTAGATATAGTCACCACCATCTGATTGATGTTCATTTGGTTAGTTTGGCAGGAAAGAGTGGAATGCACATTTTAAAGTTAAAGCTCAAAGGGTGACGTGAGGGTGCTAACCACATTTTTCTCAGCAAAAAAAGAAACAAACTGCTAAAGGTTGGACCGGGAGGACTGGCCCACCTGGATCTCCTCGATGCTGTGCACGATGAACATGTCCTGCAGGTCCTCCATGGCGCCTTCCATCCAGTTGTTGAAAGGAGCAGCTCTCTTGGCAAACTCCAGGTGAAGCTGGTCAATGGTTTCTAGCAACTTCTCAGTTCTCTGAAGATTAAACAGAAGCAAACGTAATCATAGATCAAACAATAACAACTTCTCTGAATATGTAAATAGGCATCCCAGAGCCACACACTACCACCTGACATTTTGTCACTCGCGATGTTCTCTTCATCAACATGTTTATACACAAGATCAACCCCTGTTCCAACAGCCCTGCCGGAGTCTGAAGGGTCTTCTCACTCAAAGAAGGACCTGATACTATTGGAAGTAGCCTGGTTTTGAAAGGACTTACAGGGATCTGCTAGGTAGCAGCTAGGAATGGGTGGTCAGAGGGGAAATAAAGCAGGGCGCTCACCATTACAATCTAACCAAGAATTTAATACAAGAGGCTCGAAGCAAAAGGAACACCATGTCTCACCAGCTGACGCAACAGTGCTGAGCTCAGTTTGATAAGACTGTCGGGTGTCCTGAGCATGACAAGCAAAACAGCACAGAAGGCAGGGAGAGTCCCTGAGCCTGTGCTGAGAAAAGGGGCTTTTGTAATCATCTTACTGAGATTGCCCAGTGTCCTGAATGTCACAAGCCGGAATCCTACAGGAAGGGGAGGTAGACCTTGAGATTCTGGGCTGGGAAAGGGACCTTCTGTTACAATTTCACTAAGACAAAGAGCCTTTCCTAGCTGAGAGAGAAAGCCTTTGTAGCTGTACATTATTTCCACGGGGGAAGGAGGCGCTCCTAGAAGCCAGCTGACCTATATAACTCCTGACCCCAATAGTCGGCATCCTTAGATTAGCCAAGTACCCACCTGTAGCCTCAGCTCAAGTGTATAGAACAAGTTCACTATCTTACTAACAAACTAACTAACAACTTTCTTTCCTCTAAAGGAAAAGGGGCATTCAGACCAGCCGGGTGCCTGTTTACAGTGTTGTGTTTGTGTTTCATAAATAAACTTGTTATCTCATTTCCACTATACGTGTTGTCTCTCGCTTGAATTCATCTCTTGAGGCGAGACAAGAACCAAGGTGGGGAGCCCCCTGACTCGGGTCTCTCTCCCCATCCATAGCAGATCCACTACCTGTCACCTTTCTGAAAACTGAGAAGCCACAGAGGGTACATAGTAACCTGCTTTTTAAGTTAGAGGAGGTGACTCCCTAACCACGCCGGGTAACAGAAAAGTCAGGGCGGCTTCCTCGCTTTCGTCAGCACTGAGCAGAGAAGATGCCTTTTTGCAAAAGCCACTCACCTCATGAAGACAGGAGGAACTACAGGTTAATGTTCCCCAGTCCTCATTTGGCATTTAACACAGATTTCTTCTTTGCTTTTCAGGCAAATGAAAGTGCAAGCTTCCAGCAGAGCATAGCACCACTTGTTTCGTGTGGCGGAGAGGGTGGCGAGCAGACAAGGAAAGCACCGGTATCTACATGTCTTCCTAACTACATTCATTTTTTCCTCCTGTTCTAAAATATATGAACTGTGTCTGTTACATGCCTGGTCCTTCCTCTCTCTTGACATTTCCTTCTTCAGGTGGACATGTAACAGCCACCTGGCGTCTAGGAAGCATGATATCATGTCTTTTAAAATTTCCCCAGAGTCAGGGTGAAAAGACTCAGAAAAGTGGTAACTGTTGCTTTCCTTCACATCATCTGAGTCTTCACGGGAAAGATAATTAGACACAGTCACCCCTCCTTATCTGCGGTTTCACTATCTGTGGCTTCACCCATCCATGGTCAAACGCTGTCCAAAAACGCTCCATTTCCCAAACCTTGGACGCCCTCTGCTCCGACAGCCAAACACTGTCATCACCATGGCTCAATGACCCAGGATCAACGGAAGGCGGTGACCCTCCTTTGGAAGGGCATCTTTCCAGAAGGTCGGAGTAGCCTAACCTACGCCACTTAGTGCCCTTTATCCCCTCATACAGGTGCTGTGTCATCTCACACGAGCACAAGACAGTGAGGACAGGACAGTAAGATATTTTGAGAGAGAGAGACCACATTCACATAACTTTTATTACAGTATATTGTTAAAGTCCTGTTATTGTTGTTGTTAATCTATTACTGTGCCTAATTGATAAATTAAGCCTTATCATGGGTATGTATGGATAGGAAAAAACATACATAGAGGGCACAGTGCTGTCTGCAGTTCCATGCCTCCACCATGGTACCCGAGGACCAGAGAGGACTGCAGTTCAGCGAAACACGAGCCACTCCCTGCTGTTCACCCCCGTCTGAAACTTGAGTAAAGCCAATTCATCCCGACTCTTTTCATATCATTTCTTACATCAACATTTGTTGCCATTTCCCTTTGCACATCTCCAGTTAAGTTCTTCCCGAACTTGACTCAATCACAGCCCAGTTTACTCTTACACAAAGACCTCTGGAAATTCACTGTAACTACTACCAGATACAAAATTGGCTTGTATCGTAATCTCATTATCCCTGGATTTTTTAAATTCAAAAATACATGCCCTGGCTGGTGTGGCTCAGTTGACTGAGTGACAACCTGAGAACTAAAGGATCGCCAGTTCAATTCCCAGTCAGGGCACATGTCTGGGTTGCAGGCCAGGTCCCCAGTAGGGGGTGTACAAGAGGCAACCACACATTGATGTTTCTCTCCCTCTCTTTCTCCCCCTTCTCCCCTCTCTCTAAAAATAAATAAATAAAATCTTTTTTAAAAAGTACAGTGCACTGCTACATGGATAAATTATAGTACAAAGATTCCAACTTCCTATTTGCCTCTTTTTTCTACTTTTCATACTCTCTTTAAAGGCTCCTTTCACTGGATAATCTGTTTTATACATGAAATGCCACAGAAAAACAAAAAATTAATAACAGGCACTTAAGTAAAAAGCCTCTATTAAAAGGTTTCGCATCACCCTGGCCAGGTAGCTGAGTTGGTTAAAGCATCTTCCTGATACTCCAAGGTTGTGGGTTTGATCCTCGGTCAGGGCACGTACAAGAATCAACCAATGAATGCATGAATAAGTAGAACAACAAACCTATGTCTCTTTCTCTCTAAAACCAGTAAAATTTTTTTTAAGAAAAGGTTTCCTGTCATCGGGGGCTCTGCGACCTCACCTCCAGGGCCTCTCTCCTTTTCTGCGTCAGTGTGCCCAGCCTGTCCCACTGGTCACAGATCTTCTGGCAGCGATCGTTGACATTCACAGCGTCATGATAATCCAGCTCACTGTCAGAAGTGAAAATAAAGATTAGCTTTCCCAGATGATGTCAGGAAAGATGAACATGGGTCCAAATAAACGGGGGTGGGGTGGGGGGTTGTGTGTGTGTGTGTGTGTATCTTTTTTTAAAGATGTGATAGAACTGGCAGGTGTTTCAGCATTTTGTTAACCATCGCCACTGCAAACATGATCACTATTCTGATAGATTATGAGAAAAATTAGCAAAGCTTTGCTGGTCAAAAGGTTTGTACACAGCAATGCTGTCTTTCTGATGCTTCAGGCTGATTATTCTCCCTCTGATTTCGTGGCCAGGCCCCCAGAGAGCATTATTTTTAAGGGGCAGTGTCCCCAAAAGGGAAGCCACCTATCCAACCTAAGGCTAGCCCTGTGGCCGTGCTGAAGCTGCAGCGACTGGAATGCCAAAATGCGTCTAAGGGGGAGGTGTCAAGGGGGGGCCGATGTGTCCTTGGCGCCTCTGAAGAGCACTGGGCCTCACTTGTCACAACAAGAGGAGCATCCTGTCCTGAAGGGACAATGGGGACTCTAGCACTGGAGGGACGCCTAACGCCTGGCAGGACAGAGCCCTTCCTTTTGTGGACAAAGAGATTCCAACTTGTCTTAGGCCCCTCATGTGACAGCGAGAACAAGATTCCTCACTAAGTGATTCCTCTTCCTCACCAGCCCGTCCAAGCTTCCTAACAGGCGCTTTGGGGGGCGAAGTGATTTGAACCCACTACTCAGCAAATTCCCAACTAGAAGGTCAGTCTGGTATCCTCAGGGATAAAAAAGACCAAATGCTGTACAGAATTTAAACACCTTCTAGTTAAAATCACAGCGAGATGCACAGAGATTTAAAGACACCTTCAGGAGACTTTTCCTCCAAAGCAGACCGGACAGGAGCACCTTCTCCTACCACTTCCATTCCTGGAGTTCTTAACAAACCTTAATGGTGTTAATAAGACCTTAGATTCAGGCAACATCTGTTCCTTACTTGTTTTTTCTTCCCCCTCTTAAATCAGCTTAACCAGTCCTTACTGACTGTCACTGTTTCTATTACTGGATAAAGGAGGTACGAACGGCTGTGGTCCTCGAGTTCTTCCACTGGCTAAGAAGCTCCCGGTCGCCGAATTAAAGCTCGTTCGGTTCTTACGAGCAGCTTTCTACACACATGTACATGTCACTGACTGAGAGGAACTAAAATCCTTGTGCTTATTTTTATAATAACCAAAACATATCAGCACTTTGTACAGGCTTGAATGCAAAGTAAAAAGGCTACAAAATGCTGACATTAAAGAGAAGAAAGACTTCAAAGCAAAACCCAGGAACCCTACTGTTGTGTGATGGAGATGCCAATGCTTGGGGCGTACGGTTATTTTTGGGGGAACATTCGCCCTCTTACCTCCTACGTGTTAGTGCTACACAAAGCTGCTGTCAAGGAGTCAGGGCCTGCACAGTGGGGCACGCTATTTATATGCACCCTGGGAACTGCCCACACAGGTTGAGTTATTATTTTAGGGAAGTTAAAAGGGAGGGTCATTCATAACATTAAGAGGAGCCCGGGTTTAAATTCTGTATGTGGTTCCTCTCTTAAACTGTAAGAGACTGGCATTGGATATGCCTGGAATCATCACAGTAATTAAAAATTACTACTTAAATCTTATGGGCAGCACTTAAGACCATTTCGAATTACTCATGAGAGCTACTGTAGATCATTGACTGGCTTGAGTTTCTTTCACCCCCATGTCACTTGTGAGTGTCCAGGGGCAGCTGGACATCCAGCTGCAGGAGGCGGGAGAAGTCAGAGCGCAGCGCACGGGCAGATGTGGCAACCAGCGCACTCGCGAAGAGGTTGTTTGGGCTAAAAATAGGATACTCTTGAAATAGGCCGTATCTGTCAATGAAGGAGTCTGCTCTCCTCCAGGGTGAGGAGCATGGGAATTCTAAAATGTAACATTACATAAACATTTATGTTGACATTATGTGACAGGTTCTAAACATTTGCGAACTTATCAGTGATTATGAGGAAGGGAAAGGAGTAGGCACGAAAGTTTGCATTTATCAAAAGGGGACAAGGGTCTTTAGAGAAATTTGGAAACACTGTGGGGCAGCCTCTCCCGGGGGACAGCCACGGCCGCGGGCCGCACCCTGCACCGAGCGGCTCTCATAGACAGCGAAGTGGGGCTGCCCTGTCTCCTCCTTGAGAGCTGAGGCACCATTTCTGCTTCGGTTTCTGGACGTGCAGCGTGGTCGCCGCCTGCACCCAGGCCTGTGGGCCCCCCGGTCTGAGCTGCGCTCCGGGCCTCCCTGCAGTGCCCTGTGCTCCTGCAGGGGACTGTCTGTGCTGGGCCAGGGTGCTGCAGGACGGGGCACACGGGGCCCCCGCCCCCCCCACCAAAAATCCAAAGCTGATTGGTTCATCCATTTAAAAGAAGAGGACAAATCCCATCCCAGACTCCTCCAGGTTGGCCCTCCCAAAATTCCGCATGGGAAAGGAAGGCCAGGCCGGGGAGCCTTCCACTGTCCACGCCCGCAGGTGTCCACAGCTGCACGTACTTGAGCTCCTGCGCAATGGCCGCGATCTGCTCCACACGGTCCTGATGCGCCGCCAGGTCGCTCTCAAAGGCCTCGTGCTTCCGCAGCAGGGCCCGCACCTCGGTCAGCGACGCCGACTCGTAATCCTTCTGCAGCAATATCTGTTCTTTGCCTGCAAAGGTTGTCACAAGAGTAAGAACAGGCCGATGTCACATGGCAGCGTCTCTGTGCCTGCAGCATTCTCAGTGATCGTGAACACAGAGAACAGGGGCAGAGAGCCGGGCCGAACACGTGCGGCAGCGTCACACCCGGATTCAGGCGTCACTCCGTGAAGGATGAAAGCCCACGTCTCCAAATAAAGGGGAGGCCAGCCGGCCACACCCTAGTACCAAACATGTCTCGTTCGTGACCCTGGTAACAGAGATGTGATCTTCCAGGGCACCCACAGTGACATTAGTAATTATTAGCTCACAGTCACTGGGACCGTCAGGCAACCCACTCAGATGCTGTCTGCCTACCCACAGGCTCAACTCTCACCCTAATTCTTTCTGTTTGAAAGCTTTACTTTCTGCAGTAAATGTAGTCTGTGGGCTTTCTTCCTAATAAATTAGACAGTTTCTCTCTGAACTTCCACCTATTTCCCCACAAATATTTCTTAAATCGATCAATGGGGTTATAACTGGACCCACATTCTTTCCCTGGCTGATGCCCTTTAAGAACTTGATTCTTTAAAGCTAGAAACAGAAAGCAAATGATCCCACATTTAACAATGACAGCCGAGCACTATTGTGTGCCAGAGACTGACTTAAATGCTTCATAAATATGAACTCGTTACATCTTCCTCCAACCCTGTGGTGGGGGGGGGAGTGGGCGGGGGGTGCCTGTCATTCCCACTGTGAGGCGGACACTGAGGCACCGAGAGGCGAACACTCTCCCCGAAGGCACAGAGCTGACAGGTGGCACGGCTGGGGCTCCAGGTTGGGGCCTGTAAGCGTCTTGAGGGCAATCCCGACAGTCCCACTCTGAGGAGGCTCATGGGGGCCCCAGATGGGGGCACCTCCTGCTCTGCAGCGGGACAGGGTCTAGCTCAGCCAACGGCAGCCCGCAGGGGACGGCAGGACAGCAGTGTGCGGCTGCGGGAGCAGGGCTGGGCAGAGCTGAGAGCGGAGGCGAGCCGGGGTGCCGCGAGGATGCCGAGACCAGACCGCGGTGCCTGCCTTCTTCCTTTCCAGGCAGACTTTCTAAGTGGGAAATGATGCTGCTCTGGGGCATGTAATAAATACCCTATCGGCAGAAGCCAGGCTGTCTGACCCACAGTTAGGAAATGAATAGATACTTGTAGAAACAAGTAAAAAAACTGGGGCAGACAGGAGATCAGGCCCTAGGTAGGCAAGTGTGGGAAGAATGCATTTTGACAGATTCCTTATCTGCCTGATGAGAAGGTAAGAGGTTTAGTACAAGAGAGCAGAGTGGAGAGAGGCGAGGACCCCCACCTGCAGGGCCCCCACCATCAGGACAGTTGGTAATTGCACCCGTGGCTCTGTCCTGTTGCCCCCCCGCTCCCACCCTGCCAGCCAGGTCACTCACCGTAGGCCCAGGTCTCGTGCGTGGACGCCTTCTGCCGGAACTTCTCGGCCAGGTGCTCCACACGCTCCAGCCTCCGGATCTCATTCAGCAGCCACTCCTCGTAGCCCTTCTCCGCCTGCTCCAGCCTCTGCCAGGCCCCGGCGATGTCCTGGAGGCGGGGACAGGCCAGGCCTGGGGTCACTCACACCTGACCTCTCAGGCGTACCTGTGAACCGCTCCGATGCTCGGTGGGCAGCGTCATCCTGTGTTCTTTCCATTCCCTCACCTCCCCGGACATAACCATTCAAATGTTCTAGCTTTTAAATGTCCACTTATCATTGGGGCCTTTTAAAACTAATATAGCTGTTCTCAGGAGCGACCAAATGCCTGATACTCCTCCAGATGTGGACAGAGGCTAACAGCGCTTTACTTTTCTGGCCAGAAGACGAGGACACCTCAAAGTGACTCCATTCACCACTGTGACTCAGTGACTGGGCTCAGCCAGCCAGCCGGCCGTCAGTGGTTTCCTAGACGCCACACACGAGCTGGGTGTGAGCCAGACTTTATGAAAGATGGGTGACCTGTCTAGCCCCTGTGGCCCTGCAGCCTTCACACTGGCTGTGGAGGAAGACAATCAATAATTAAACACACTTGTTTCGGACAGCGAAGTGCAATGACAGGATCAGGTGGTGCCGAGAGCCCATGGGGCAGGGTCCCTCGGGCAGGTTACTTGGAGAAGACCCCTCCCATTTGGGGGGTGGCGTCTGAGCTGAGACGTCACAACAGGAAAGCCAGTTTTGTGCAGACGTGGGGCCCCAGGAACCAGCAGAAGGCCTGGGGGACAAGCTCATGTGGCAGGCAAGCGGCAGAGCGGCCAGGTGGGGAGGGGCCGAGCAGGTTGGGACTGGAGGCCAGGAGGCTGAGTCTGTGTCTTTTTCTAAACACTTTGGGAAGTCCTTGGACGGATCAGAGAAGGACGAGACACACTCCGACTCACACTTCAGGAAGATGGGGGTGGCTGCTGTTGAGAAGCAGGAATTTTAGGGGCAAAAGAAAAAGAAGAGGCTGTGAGAGGGTGAGCACGGGGTCCAAGGAGTGAGGCCCGTGGCCTGGCCTGAGGGGGAGGTGGGAAGTGCAGAGACAGGGGCAGATTTAAGACGGGATCTGGAAGCGGAGCCACCAGAACTGGCTGAGGGACTGGTTGCAAAGGAGTGACGGAAAGCAGGGGTCCGTAATGACACCAGGGCCTGGGGCTTCGGTTCCTTAGAGGTGCCACCCACTAAGGTTTGAGATGCTTTTGAGACATCCAAGCAGGTCCATGAACCTGGAACTTGGGAGCAGTCCAAGCTGAAGACTGAAATCTGGGTGCACAGGCATCTGGGTGGCCATCAGAGCCACGGGCCTGGGTGCAATCACCCGGGGGCGTAAGGACAGAGAAGGTGGCCAGCAGAAGCCAGGAACCTCTGTGCACAGACCAGACAGAGGAGACCAGGCTTGGAGCAGTGAAGGAAGGACCCCTTGGTGAGGCAGGAAGGAAACAGTAAGTTCAAGGGCAGGAGTTTCAGGAAGGAGGCGATGGCGAACAGGCTACCAGCTACAGAGGACAGGAAGTAAAGTGACTTGATCCGGTCATCAACCTGGATGCTGCTGGGGAGTCTCAGGGGAGGGGACAGAGGCCAGGTTACCACAGGGTGAAAGGCAGAAAGGGTAGAGGAGGGAGGGGCGGGCGGCTATTAAGGGCTCTTTCCGGATGTTCTGCTGGGAAGGGCAGCCGAGAAACAGGACGCTCCCCGGGGCTGGCGGAGGCCTGCCGTTTTGTTCGGCAGGTTCTAGAGGACTCGGTGCCAATGCCAGGGATCCGGTAGAGAGATGGACTGAAGATGGAAAGAAAGGTAAGTGGACTGGGGAGGGGACAGCAGGGAACAGAGGCCACTTGTCCTGGGTGCTGGTAGGCCCGGTAGGGACACTGGGCCCAGCACGCGGCAGGGGGAGTGGACGGGGTGTCATCAGGGTTTGTTAAAGGCTGTTGTCTGGTGGCAGGGGGTGAGGGGCAGCACGGACCACCCAGTGCAGAGGGCAGGCTGCACTGCACAACGGTCAGGGGGCGGGGAGGGGGAGACACCGAGAATGAAGTGGCTGCAGGGCCAGAGCTCTGCTCCTGGACCGAGACCCGTCGGCGGCCCCGGGAGGAGGCCCGGGCTACTCACCGACACCATCTTGCCCTCCGAGGGCATGAAGGCGGGCCGGTTGCTGATCCGCAGCTTGGTCTGCAGCGTGTTGAAGTTGATCTCCAGCTGGCACTTCTCCTGCACCTTCGGGGGCTTGTGCTTGCGGCGGTAGTCCCGGAAGTCCTCCAACTTCTTCTGCATGGCCTGCATGGTCTTCTCGGGCGTCCGGTTCTCCAGCCAGGGGATCGTGCGGCGGATCCATTCCAAAAGCTACGCCCAAAACACGTAAATGCTGCTAAACCCTGCAGACTGCCCCCCCACCCCCGCACCGTGAAAAAGACCTCACAAGCAGGGATGGACTAATTCAATGTTCCTACAACTGCAGAAGTACGATGCCCGCTGAAGGCTCCTCTGTGCGTGGATGGATGGGCCAGTGTCCCACCCACGGCCACAGCGATCCCCCAGCGACACCACACACCAGGCGAAAACTCAGGGTCAGCACGAGTCATGTCTTACAAATGTGGGACATTTACAGAAAACTCGGGGACCAGACATTAGCAGACAAATGCTGGATGGAGCTTTTAAATGAAATAAATAAATAAATAAACAACCGAAAATAAAAAATCACCTGACACAGCGAAATGTAGTATAATAAAATCAGAGAAGGAGTGGGTTTAACATAAGCTCCAATCTAATGAATTTATTTACTAGACAAATGTATTGTAAGTCTGGGACTGACTCAATGCCAAAGTATATTTTAGTTTGATATTTAGTGAAGTCCTGAGGACAAGGTACATTCTCCTGAATTACTACCAAAGTCTTAGAAAGGACCCCCTGAAAAGCCGTGAATAATTTACACTTAAGATCACTTTGAGAATGTCAGCAGACAACAAAGATTAGTTAAAGTGGCACTGTGCCCACAGCCTGCAGGCCTGTGGAGGAAACGGCGGGACATCGTCACTGAGGCTTGCCGTCCACGGGTCCCAGTCGGGCTTCAGCCCCGAGTGCATCATGGGCATCGGACAACAGGCCAGACTGACTCCACCGCCGCAGGGAGAACACAGGGACTCAGCAGCAGGTTGGAGTAACTGGAACACGCGTCCTGGTGCTTTTCCCAGAACAGCCTGCACATCGGCTACAAGCAGTCAGGGCAAAGGTCCCTTGGTGTGTGGCCTGCGTGATGGTGACCGAGTTCCATCTACAGGGGCTCTGGTGTGGGCCTCACCTCGGTCCAGACCCTAGGTGACAAGGCTGCTGAGTTACGACTGATGCTGACACAAGAATGAGAGAGCACGTGGCGAGCACTGTTCTAACGGAGCACCTGGCTGCCGCGCACCAGGAAGCTCCTGTGCAGACACTGGGACGAAGGGTTCTGACTCCCACGTGCTGCCCCCTAGGGATTTATACTCGAGGCTGAGCCGCGTCTAGCACAGCTGGGTGTGCTCCGCGGAGCTGGGTCTCCGTGGACCGGGCCTCTGAACAAGGAGCGCAGCCGCTGAGATGTCAGAACCAGGAAGAAGTCACATAGTGTGGTGGCGCCTCGGGGAACGCGGCCCTGGAGGTGCCCAGCAGACAGTGACGCCACACTCTGCTCTCAAACATGCAAACTGCCTCTGCGCTCGGGGCTGGCTGCAAAGCCCACCGGGGTTCCCTCGGGGCCAGTAATTATGTTGCTACAGGTGAACCATCTCCGAGTTCAACTGTATTTTCCTACTTTTATTCCTCCTGAGATGAAAAATGTAGAGTAAACAACACTGACAACCCATGTCCACCCTCTCGCCTCGCCCTCCGGGCGGGGACGGACAGGATGAGGGTCGCCGTTCGTTTCCTTTACCTCACTCGCTAGCCTCTCATATTCTTCCATCAGCCTCTCATTCTCTTGATTCACAGCAAGAACCTTACATATCCTGTTAGCCGCTGTCTCGGCCTGTAAAACACAAGAGGTAAACACGACAGCTCTGTCGACAGGACATGCACACACAAAACTGAGCGTGGTAGGCATGAGGGGGCCGCGGGGGGTGGCGGGCTGTACGTGGTGCAGATTCGGGTTAGGGTGGAAAAGACTGAGGGCATGAATCACTTCACACCTTTTGTACAGTTTTCACACAGACTTACACGGCAGGCTGAATATACTGTAGGGAACAATGGGGAGATAACATTAGTCTAAACACAAGCTTTGTAAAACATTAAGCAAGTTAGTAACAGAAATATATGGGCCGAGGGAACTAGAATCTCAGGCTCCTGAACGTGTGCCCACCTGAGCACACTACTGGCCTCAGGACTATGGGGTGAGAACTCTCTAAATAATCTTAAATAAATAGCCTTTGAGAATAAAAGCAAAAGTGACTGGGTCCTGAACATAGGTGGTTGCACGGAGTTCACAGACGGCCTCTCCTGAAACGAATGTGCAGAACTTGGGAGATGGAGTCCTTCCCCGGAGCTGAACTTGCTTTGAGACTTGGTTTAACCAACGCGAGACGCTGGTGAGATAAGAACTACCACCGTTCTGTGGAGGAAAACTTGGGCCCGAACGGGCAAAGCGCCTCGAGCCAGGGTCACGGAATGACTCAGGAAGGGCCGCGTGCCCGCCGGCCTTCCAGGCCTACAGCCTGTCCCAAAGCCTCGCCTCTGACGCCCTGTATGGGCTGACGTCCAGGTAGCCTCGCGTGCTGACGATGGTCTTAAAGAGAGCAGAGGAGTACCACAGCTTTTGTCCACCCCAGTCTACGAGGGTTCTCCAAGGAGAGATCCGTGAAGGGGCCAGAGGCAGAAACAGATAAATATGGGGGAAAAATACATTTACCCACCATATCCACCCCTCAGGCTGTTTGTCTTAAGGAATGTGAATTTTTTTGAGGTTCTAACACTGTAATCCTTTCCCCATTTTAGTTAAAAAGGGGTTAGATTAGTCTTTAAAGATGCTGGAACCAACCCTGGAGCACTGAAGGCAGCTTCCAGGGACCAGGGCACTGGGAAGCACTCGCTCTCGTTGGCGGATGTCCCTTTTACTGCACCTTTTGTTCCTAAAGTACAATGTTTCCCACAACTTACTAATAAAATAATATCATAGAAGGAAGGAGGGATGAAAACACTTCGGGAACTGTCTAAAGTTAAAGCTGTTAAAAAAAAAAAAAAGAGTATTCACAGTTTGGAACTTGCCATATTAGGTCACCACGAAACACTGAGAAAGATTCCAAGGTAAGATGTGAAGCGCACACGCACGCACACACACAACTGACGCCCATGCGGGGGGCAGCACAGCCCCGACGGACGCGTGGTGGGTACCTGCTCCGCGCCCGCGAAAGCATGGTAGAAACAGGACACGTACGTCATGATGGCCCTTTCGTCCGGTTTGGGGGTGTTCACAATGTCTGAGGGAGGGAAAAACAGCACAGAAAACACACACACACACGAAGAGCAGAAACCAGGGTGAACAAGGGAGGGACAAGTTGGTTTGCACCGATCGATTTTTGTGTCTCTTGGGCCCACAATCCCAAACCTCAGACAGGTGGTTCGTGAACAGAGTGATTTAAACCAGCGTTTCTCACATCATCACATAGAGGCCTCTTCTCCTCCCTCCCCGACGGGCTGTTGCAAGTGCCCTCCGGGCACTGCCACAGGAGCCGTGGGCGCGACTCCGGGTCAGGGCTCGGGGCCACTTCCCACTGGCTCCTGGAGCCCACGCCCCCCTGGCCGCACCAGGTCGCCCGCGCGTCCCTTTGCGAGATGCGGGGAACAGCAGCCGAGCGCTGAGCTCCATCTCTCCAGCCGCTGCCCCGCCGCACCCACAGCCGTCCGCGCTCTGCTCTGCGGCGGGCTGCTGGCACGGGGATGGCGGCCCCCGGAGGAGCACGGCTGGGGCGGCCTCTGCGCACACTTACCACGCCACTTACAGAGGCCGCCCGGAGCGGCCAGGCATCACGCGAGAAGGATGTGCACGGCTCGCGCACGCTACGACCCTTGCTACCATCTGCCTTGGCTGCCGAATTCACCAACAGGAAGAGAGAAACAGAACCGGGTGACACACATCCTTCCTCCTCCCACTCAGCAAAGCTGTTTTTGCTGAACCGCTTTTTCACTTTACACGGAGCTCAGTCACGGGACAGAATGAAATTAAAGAGAAGACACTTTGTAATTCCCTAAAGTGAAACCTAGTCTTTGGGTTTCCAGAGGATATTAATAGAAAGGACGTGGGGCTGTGCAACAGTGCGGAATCTTCTGGAAAACAAACATGAACGGTATACTGGTGCACAGACAGAAAGTAAGTTTCAAAGAAAACTAGACGAAAAAAACACCTAACTGCCTCCTCAGAACCTGATGGGTCTCCTTACTCAGGGGAGAGGAAGGAAGAGGAAAAACAAAGGAAAAGAAATGAAGGCACACAGAGGCTGAGCAGGGACGTGCATTTGACGCCCTCACCTCCGTGCACCAGTGAGAGCGTGGTGGTGACAGGGGACACGAGTCGCGACGGCTTGCCCGGCAGGTCCGGCCGGGCTCGCTGAGTCTGTGTGGAGAACGCAAGGCAACGGCTGCAATGTGTGGACACTGGCCGGCTCCCGCTGGCCACCTCGGAAGAGCCGGAGCGATGGACCCTCTCTGCCGCCCCACACGTTCATGCAGGGCGAGCTGTGGCTCAAACCCAAGAAGTCACCCTGCCAGCCCTTCCTCTGTGTGCTTCTGAGAACTGACAACAGAAACCAAGGGACTGCCAAAGAGAAGGGCACGCCAGCCGGGAGCCTACGTCCACGGCCAGACGTGGACCTGGCTCCACAGGACGCACACTGCAACGGTCCCAGAGACGTCTGTCGTTGGGCGTGTGGCGGCCCGGGGTCAGCGAAGGCCCTCTGCAAGCCCACGCAGGGCAGGCACACCTGCACCTCTCAGCCGTGCGCCCACCTCAAAAGAGGTCTCTGGAGGCGAACAGGACAACGAGCTTCACAAGCTTTTCAAACATGAGGACAGGATGAGGAGGCACTTCTCCAGTTTTTACCACATGTTACAGTTTCAATTAGCCACGAGAAAACTCCCACCTGGGGGCCACGTCAACAGCAGCAGGTGGGGCCAGTGACCCGAGAAGAGGAGCCAGGCACAGCATGACAATAAAAGGTGGCAGGAATAAGACACGTTACTGTGATGCTGTGCTGACATGATTCCGCACGTCAGCAGCAAAGACATGAAGGCTAAGGTGGGGGTGCCTGCTGGGTCTGTGGGTACGTCCCAGCATCCCCACACCCCGGTCAGTAAGAAGATTCTTATGAGAAAATACTCTACAAAGGAATTAGCAGAGTTTGTGAGACTTTCTCTAAGCCATTCAAGAGGAGAGATGAAGAAGAGCAGTGGAAGACTGGGCTGTGCCACGGGGCAGCGGGAGGCCCATCAAGAGCAAAGGATCCGCGGAGCAGACACGTGCCCTGACCAAGGCCCAGGGACCAGGGAAATCCGAAGCACCGGGCGCGACAGAGCTCCTGGCGCCCTGTCTGCAGGAGACCAGGGAGGCGAGGGTGAGCCACACGGCGAGTGCCCGTGGAGAACCAGGTTGGTCCTCGCTCTACTCTCTTAGCCATTAACTCAGAGTAAACTCTGGGCAGTTGTTTACCGTACGGCAAGGTCGAGGGAGAGACCACGCAATCACAAGCTTAGCGGGGACAGACGAAGAAAAAGGGACAGGAGCTTGTCTCGGCTGCTTGTTTATGGTTTTATCAACTTTCTCCCTCTAAAGAGTTGTGGAGAAACCATGCGTAGAATTCGGAAGGGTGTGTTCAAGCGTCAGTATCAATGATACAGGTGTTTGATGAATGGTTAAATTAATAAATAGGTAAAGTTAGAATCCTAATTGAAAGATCAATGTTATGTCCCCCAAAAGATATGATGAAGTCCTATCCCCAGTTCCTGTGAACGTGACCTTACCTGCTGGTGTGCAGGTTAAGACGAAGTCATGCTGGAGCAGGGAGGGCTCTAAACCCACTGTGGCAAGTGTCCTTACAAGAGGAGGGAAGGACACACAGCGGGAAGATGGCCACGTGAAGGCAGAGCCCAAGCGAAGCCACCACAAGCCAGGTGAGGCCTGGGGCTTCATGAAGCTGTAAGAAGCCAGGAGGGATCTTCTCCCTGAGGCTTTTGGGGGGACCGCGGTCCTGCCAACCCCTCAGTTTTGACTAGAGCTTACAGGACTATAAGAGAATAAATTTCTGTTGTTTTAAGCCACCCAGTTTGTGGTAATTTGGTACAGCTGCCATAACGCAATCACCAACAATGAGGAGGAACAAAAAATGGACTATTGACTATAATAAAATTCTTTGCTTTTCCCAACAATGCAATTAGTGAAAGCAATGGACCATTCGGGAATTACATTCACAACAAACAGTGATAGAAGTTCCCAGACGTTAGGACCCCACCTTACACATCTCATCACGCGCTGAGGCACCCAGGGTCCTGTTCACAGTGACTGCCCAGTCAGATCTGCTGAGTGTTGAGTGAGCCGTGAGTGAGTGGCATGAATGGATGATCTCCAGGTCAGTGCTTTAGATGGAGCACTATAGGAACAGCCCACCGATCCTTCCCATGCGAAGGGCACCAAAGGCATTTGAAACTATTCCCCGCAGGAGTGATGCTAAACTGCAAAGTATTTAGAAGTTCTTTCAGCTCTAACTAAATAAAATTTAACTTAGATCAATAAAAGGAAAATGTGAAAGTTTGAGAGGTACAATCTACATTTTGCTTCCATACCTTCTAGTTGGAAGGAAGGGCTTTTTCCTTGTAGAGTCTTAAGCACTTCACAAGGTTTATTTACGAAAGTTGTCTCAATGTGGTAAGGAAATTTAGGTTGTTAAAAAATTAAAACATGAACTTTTTCTTTGAAAATCACAACGTAAAGCATCCTGTTTCTTTGCCAAAGCTGAACCTTCTACCAAATCGTTCATCATAGTGTTGCTGGCTTGTGTGTGTGTGTGTATGTGTATGTGTGCAGGGTTTTTAGAAATAATTGATGAACAAGCTATACATGAAACCCTCCAATACCCCCGGAGGAATCCTAAGCACTTCCGACGCAGCCTGGCTGTAAAGCTTTGCCAAGCCTGTGTGTGGCCACTGCGTGGAGCCCACAGAGTTTCTAAGAGTCAGTAACACAGTTCACCTCACCTTCAGCATCCAACATTTTGGGAATATCCAGATGCTTCTCGGCAATTTCCATGGCCAGGTTAATATTTCCTATTGGGTCATCCTGCATGAAAAACAGCACTGTCAGTTTTTTAAAATGTATTTTTGAAACAGACATATGAATGTTTTCTATATACCTCACTTTGGGGAAGAAAGCTTCCCTTCCACACAAAACTGTAAGAGTATAAATTATTTTTCTTCTTAGCTCTTTCCAATCACTTCAAACATTTAGAAGAACATAAAAAATGATATAAAATCCACATGATCCATGCACCATGTAATTCATAGAATGGGAGCAAAGGTTCAAGAGAACAAAGGCTTTGCAGGTGTGAGGAATATAGCTGGGCAGGATCTGGAAGGTGATTGTGGACAGGATCTGGACCTGGATCTGGAAGGTGATTGTGGAGAATCAGCCAACACCTTTGTTTTAAATGTATGAGAGCAAAGGCATAAAGAGAAGGAGACACACTGCCAGGTGAAGGCCAGGCCACCGGTGAATGTCACTAGGTGGTTCAGCAAGCAAAGTCATGTTTCTGCATGTTAAAGGTGAGAATTACAAAAACTTGAAAATTAAAATGGTGAAGAAAGTTTTCTTAAGATTACATTTCTCTTACACTGTATAAATGAGTTAAATATACAGGGTCCGGCAGAAGTAAGGCCTGCTTGAGTGTGGTGCTAGGGTAACAATGTGGGTATAATAATTTAAAGTTTTGATTTGAACATTTCACCTAAAATGTCCTATTGTGTGCTTGAGTGTGATATTGTTATGTTACAGAATTACATGCTTCTGATTTTTGTAATAAAAGATTTTATAATAAAAAAGGGGTATTGTTTGTGCCAGACCTTGTATAAAATGCAACAAAATAAATTTAACTGAAGGTGTAGAAGTGAAATACTGAAAAGCTAAAAGACAATATTTCTTGTTTTGACCCATTAAAGAGATTGACTGCTATGAACTGGGGTCAGGGAAGGGGTTGTAGAAAAGAAAAAACAAAACGAAAAGCAGTGTTAGTGCAGGAATGGCTCTGATGAATTTTACCATCAGAGCCATTCAAACACATTAGACACTGCAATGCTTTGCGATGAGCACATTCATTTTAATGTGGTTAAACACTTCAAACGCGCGGGCTTCAAAAATAGTCACAACCTTCAAGGAAGAAGCCAAAGTAAGCTTCCTGCCTCGCGGAGCATCTCGTTATTTGAGGCAGAAAACGATTCAACTCGACATTGTTAGACAGAGCCCAAGAGCACTTCAGAGAGAGCAGCCACGCCGCCCACGGAGCCCCACCTGGACCCTGTGCACAAATGCCCACAAAGCCAGGGCGCTGAGTACAAGTTTCCTTATTTTTGTTTTTAATATATAACGAAAACTTCAGCACTAAAAGTGCAGAGGAGTGATTCTGAGCCTGTGTGAAAGTCATCTCCTTTAGCCTGTAACTCACAGAGATGAGGTGTGGCAATTAAGTGCTTTCTTGGCACAGCGCTGGCCATGTGACCGTGGGCAGATTACTGAGTTCCTCACTTTCATCATCTGCAAAACTGGGAGAATAACAGTGCCTAGCTCACAGGTGCAATGCATTATATTTTGCTGTGCATTAAAAAGATTGAATGAATATGTGTACTATACATATAATACTTATTAATATGCATTAATATTAACGTACATATATGTATAAACAATGTTATATACCACACACGTTAATACATGCACATATATATCATAAACGTTCATGTATTTATTTACAACAGTGTCTTTTCTAGAGCTATATAAGCATTAGCTGCTCTTAATAATCATTTTTTTACCTATCATAGATGGCCAATTAGCACATGTCTGTTCACCTTTTGTAATAAAAACTGACAATTATAAACTTCTAGTGAAACTAGGTCTATCTGTCTAGTATAGTCCTCTCATTTTGCAAATGAAATAAAGATTAATTGAAAAATTTATACATTGTCTGTATGAAACATTCCAAAAGCGCAGGGATAGAACACACACTTTGAAAAGCTGAGAAACTCCGGTGGCTGCATTCCCTTAGGCCACCTTCTTGCATGACAGAGCTGTGGCACCAGGCTCAGCAGGGGGTGGCGGGCAGGCAACAGCTAACATGCAGGGACGGCCAGGGCACTGCCAACGACCATGCACGCCACGCAGGTGAGGGCAGCATGCAGCGTGATGCGAGGGGCCAGCCAGGCACACCAGCGACCGAGGCCTGGGCGTGACAGCCATGTGGGGCACCGTGGGGGTGGGGGCGGGCCAGGCCCTCGGGCCTAGGTCCTCAGGTGGTGCTGTTACTTCCAGGGCAGCGAGACTGTCCGCTGCAGGCAGATGGGCGTGGATTTCTTTTTTCCAGCACAGACTACATTTTTACACTCCTTTCAAAGGAAGAGTTCAAAGGCTATTTGAATCTTAAGCATGCTAAAGTTTAAGCTTAAAGGGAGAATTAAAATTCCCTAAGTTGAGTTTTCTGAAGCAAGCAAAGCCTCCCCCTCCAAAAATCCTCAAACTTCTTTTCTGAGGCTAGGACTAACAGCGAGATAATTAAGAAATGTCCCTCGTGTGACAAGTTAATCAATTCTGAGTAGATTATTCTGCAACTCAGTCCTTCAAAAAAGGCAAAGGGACTTGAGCAAGGAGGCTGGGAGGGTTTGAATTGCTCCTCCCTCAAATATATGCTTCACTTCTCATATTTGCAGTCTAGGAATGTAGCATCTCTAACAAACACGCATAAAGCCTCACAGTAAAAGTCAAGCCCAAACAGCAGTCGCTCAATTTGGGCCAAGGCGTGACTGGCTTGGGGCTGTCTGCCCTCAGGGTGAGAGGAGAGCCTTCCTGCTGCCCTGCCCGAGTCTGGAGGGCCTGGCCCGGGCTGCCTGCAGGCCCAGGGCTCGGTGCTGATGTGCTCGTTCCGGGGCCACATGCTGGGGGCGGGCGACAGGACAGCGAGCCCGACGACCTTGTTCAGCTTTGAGTAGTCAATGAGGTCGGGCCGGTGCCGGTGGATGAGCGCGCAGAGTCCCAGGCCATCCTTCCAGCTGCGCCGCGTCGGGGGAGCGGGACAGAAGTTAACGCCGAGGAAGCCGCAGGTCTGCACTGCTCAGACGGCGGCCTCGCGGCGCCTAACTGCTTTTCGTCTGACTTCATGCACAAAAGGCCCCTGGACCTTCCGCCCTACCCGCCCGGCGGCCTTGTTCCCCCTCCTTGAACACCTGTCTTCTTCCGGGGTCACCAAGGACTGCTACCCCCTTGGTGTCCACTTCCCATCTTCAACTTCAGGCCCTCCCACGCCTGGGCCTCCTCCCAGTCACCCCACCGTCGAGTTCAGCGCTGGGAGCACTGGCAGGGCCCAGAGGGAAGACGTCTCTTGGCAGCTGTCCTGCTGTCCTCTGTCACTGCCCCTCCAGTCCCGCGAGCCCCCTCCCCCTCCAGTCTCCCTTCTGGACCCAGGGCCGGCCCACTCGCCGTGCACAAGGATGCCGACCCTGAGACGCCCAGCGAGTCGTTCCTCCGAGACTTCTCACACCCCCAAGGGCCCCGCTTAGCGCCCAGGTAGCCGCTGTCTTTCCTCATAGTGTAATTTATTTTTAAAAGGCAAAGACATGTAGGTTCGTAAGGGACTCAGCAGAGAGAATGTGGGTTCAGTCTGCTTCCCCCAGACACCCACAGCCACGGGAGGCCAGGGGTGACCAGCGCGTCACCTGACAGCTGGGGTAGGCGCCTGCTCCTCAAAGGAGGTGGTGGTGCCAGGAGCTGGGGACCACACTGCTGGTGCCTGGGCCAGCGCTCTCGGCCAGAGGAAGAGGAGCAAGGGGCGCGGGAGGCAGGCCGAGGGCTCTAACACTGGCCCTGGCCGCTCCTTCCACAGAGAGCGTCCGGCTCAGGGCCTGGCGCCTGGCAGCCTCTCTGATAGGATTTGTGGACCCGGAGGAACCCCCCCCTGTTTTCATGGGTCTCATGCCTGTTCTCCATCTCTCTCCATTTACTTTCCATTTACTTTCAGGCTGACCCGCCACAGAGAAGGTGAGAACTAAACCACTCACACGTAACCACCACAGACGATCTATCTGAGAAAGGAGACCAAAGCAAGGAGCAAAATTGTGGTCTCGGACTGTATCTAGATTTCCTCTGTTCAGTTTTCTAGAGTTTTTCGAACACAATTTTCCTGTTTCTCCTGAATTCCAGCCCACAAAGCTGATCTAAGGCAGAGGGAACAGGGTGGGCGAGACTCTGTCCTCGGACCTCAGGCTCTGTCTGCTGAGGTCTCTCCTCCCACCAAGGAGTGATCCCTGTTGCCATCTCCCAGTGCGAGGTGAGCGCCCGGGAAGGTGGCTTCCTACACCCTCATCTTCTGAAGACCCAGTCTGGCGCCACGTAAAACTCACTGTAAGCACGGAGCTATTTCACCAGGATCCCTCACTCTAACCACGTCTTCCCCAAGAAACCCTAAGCATCGGAACTCCGATAGCTGCCGTCCTGTTACAAACACAAAGTCCTCTCAGGCAGGAGGAGGAAAAACTAGTGTACGTGCACACTGTCCCGGCCCCTGGGAGCCCAGCAAGAGCAGAGGCTGGGCACTCACCTGGTGTGGAAGTTCTGAATGTTCACGTTTCTGTAGGGAGCCGTCTTCCTCTGGCACCACAGCAACAGGCCTTCTTTGGCAGAGGTTTCTGGAACGACAGCCAAGAGCAGGGTCCACAGGGACATGCTCACCACTTCCTTCGCCCAAGGTCGGCCACCCGACCATGCGGCCTGCGCCTCCGGCGCCTTCTCTTCTCCTAGTTTCTGCGGGAGGATGGCAGCTGGAGCCCTGCGCCCAGCGACTGACCAACTTCTGATGACACTTAGGGACTCAAAAAGGAGTCACTGCAGGTGCGACTACCGGTTATGACATAAAACACATGAAACTTACCTTTTATATGAAAATAATAAAATGTATATAGTTTATGACTTAACTAACCTGTCATTCACTTCATTTATAATTTATATTCTTAAGTAAAGGGAATCCACAGAGGCTGCTATGTCTAAAATGTATACCCTTACCCAGAGGTTTTATAATAAAGACTTTGATTGGTAAATGTGAGTTTCGATCAAGTCGGCGCCCTGCCCCAGCCCCAGCCCCGGGGCACCACGAAGCTGGGCTGCGGGCGCCGCGGCCTGAGGTAGAGCCGGCACTGTGGTCCCGGCCGCCACACCCCCCCAGAGGCCACACCTCTGCAGGTTGCTCCACCACAGACCAGTGAGGGCGGGTACCTTCCTGCGGCACGCGGGACTCCTCTGAGAGCAGCTCAGGCTTCAGGACCCCCCACTGGCCTGCGGACAGCCCTGCAGGATGGGGCTCTTCACCCCCAAGCCCTCCCGCCCCCTTCTCCAGTGCAGGCGGCAGGCAAGGGCTTCGGCCTGAAGGCTCTCTCTGCCGCCGCCTGCTCTCCCACTCTGTCCTCCGCAGACATGTCCCCCGGCAAACCCCAGGCACTTCTGTGTGGACTGCATGTTTGTGTCCCCTCAGTCCGTATTTGGGGCTCTAACCACGATGTGGTGGTTTTAGAGATGCGGCCTTCGGGAGGCAATAGGGTTAGATGAGGTCATGAAGGTGCGGCCCTCACGATGGGATAAGTGGCCTTCTAAGAAGTGAAATCAGAGTGCTCGCATGTGCATGAACACTGTCTGTCTGTCTGTCTGTCTGTCTGCCATGTGAGGTCACGGCACAAAGGCAGCCATCTACAGGCCTGCAGAAGGCCTTCAGCAGAACCTGACTGTGCTAGCACCTGTCTTCAGCACCTGCATTTTCGAGGTTGGAGGTCAGCCTCCAGAACCGTCAGGAAATAAATTTCTGCTGTGTAAGCCGCTCCGTCTAGCGCCACCTTAGCGTTTGCCTCTGGGGGCCCACAGTTACGTACACCAAACAGCCTCTCAAAGCCACTTCCAGGGCCCAGGATTCTACCTGTGGTTAGGGTCCAATAGTTTAGAAAGTTCCTGTAAACATGTAGACTCTCTGGTCTTTCATTTTATAGGGGCTTGAGGTTGATTTTTTCAAATCAAAATAAGTATTCCATAATTATTTATCTAAATTGTCCTTCTAGTTCAGACTTTTCTTTGACCCATAATCCAGATGAAATAAACACACTCCCAAAGTTTCATGTGTTATATGAATAATTTGAATGATTCCTGTTCATGTCTCTTGCCTAGCAAATCCTTGTTAAGGAAAAAGATGAAGACTTTATTAATATATGAACTGGTACAGGTGCTAGAATGCGAAACTCCATACCTAGCTGTTTTGATGTCTATAGCTGCCTGCCTTTGGGTTTTGCCTAATGCCATTAGTAAGAAAAAACACACCAGGAGAAAATAAAACTATTTTTATAGTTTAAATGGAAATTATGTTAGAAAGGGACACAGATGGAAAGCAGATCAAGAAAACCTTGTAACTGCTACTGAAGTTTAGACTCACATGTCAGTGAGCTCCACCCGATTTCTTTCTGTCTGACGGCTCTGAACACTCTCAGGTCCTGAATGTGGAAGAAAGTGCTCTCCCTGTCTAACTGGCAGCTCCATTCAAAGCTGACTCTCGCCCAAGTCCACTTCCAGGCTTTCAGCAAAGATCAGCAAACCTGTGCCAAGTGTGTCCCTGCCCGTGGGCCACCTCGCTCCCCACAGGTGCAGGCGAAACCTGAAACATGGCCGTGTGGTGCACACACGTCCACAAACAAAACCCCGACCGCGGGTGTGAACGCGTGCTATAAATAGGTAGTGTCATTTGTCACTCCATCGTGAGTATGACGCACCAGGAACCCCCTGTACCTACATCTGACTGACCCCGCCAACTGATATGTTAATCTCGCGTTTGTTTCTTGGAGGAGACCCACCATTCTGTTAAAGGAGACTGGCTCCTCAAAAACCTCAGCTGCAACAACATCTTTCTCTATATAACATACATCATTAAAACACGGTAAGATGATTGCATTGTAGGTGTACAGAAATTAATTGAGGTTGTTAAGAAATGACTTCATAAAGTAAAAAGAATAAAAGTATAAGTTAGGAAACTAACATCATCTACTGTGTTGGACACTGAAAGACATCTGGTTCAAGTGACTTAGGCACTTCGCTAACATTATCACTTTTGAATGTTTAATTTCAGGAGCTTCTGAAAGGCAGGTTAATATATCTGTTTATGGTAATCTTTCACAAAATACTGTAGTTTGATTAATTTTATTAGTAATAATTTGGGGGGAACCCTCTAACAAATAATACCATTCACAGCTACACCTGAAACAGAATTCAGTTTTAAAATCATATCACCACAATTTGAAATACATAACCAATCAGAAAAAACCTGAGATTAAGTCTACCTCTGTAAAAAAAGATTTGCCACTCTAGAAAATGCAATAGAATGAACAAGATAAAAAATAGCATTTGCTCTTTAAAGTTGGTTCAACTGTTTAAGTATTTAAATTTAGAAGTATATACAATTTATAAAACTATTATAAGTTACTCTTTTTTAATAAAGCAGGAACTTTTAATAAACATCTTATTATTTTCATTAGCATGCAAGGAGTGTATGTTAATAAAAGTACATTGTCTGAAGTTTTCCAATTCAAACTATTTATTAATTCAAGCTAGCTGAGCCTGAATTATCGAGGCTTTAATATCCTCGCATCTTTGATTTTTAGGGGACAGAAGTGGAGTTTCAGAAATGATCTAAATGCACCAGAAACTCCTTAAAGGCAAGTACTGTAGGCCTCCTGTAAACAGTAGGCAGCAAATTGCTGGTTTTTAATATTTGTTGGTGGTTAGTAACTAAAATCATTTAAAAAGACCAGAGTCAGAGTTGTACTCGGTTCTAGGCAGAATTACAAACGATGGCCCCCACCTGCCCCTTCCAGGCACCTGGTTACCTGCTGGGGACAAAGTCGGGGGAGGCCGACTGGACAACGCAAACCCCCTTTAAGTATGTTCGGATATACATTTTGTGACTTGAGAGCTTAATAGGCAATATTCTAATTTTAAGAAGGTCAAGTTCACCATTTTCGACAGTGCTTAAGGCATCAAAACATCTAGGGGTACAGTGGACGTAAGACTAAAGATTTTTACCTTCAGTTTTAACACCAAGAACTGGGACTCTTGGTGTTTCAAGGAAGAAAAGAAGGAGGAAGAGCAAATGAACAAACTTGGATTTCAATTAATCATTTTTTGCACCGGAAAAACAGTGTTTCACTGTAAATCTAAAGAATTGTTATACTTGTGAACATACTAGTATAATAAGAATAAGCTAAAAAAATTTCACTGAAAAAGCGACTTCTATACTGACCATGCGCTTGTCTCTTCCAAAGTGATTCCACCCATGACTGAGACAGCAGGGCCAGGGTCTTCCCCGCCCAAACATAAAGCTTGTGAGAAACCAGTTTACAGAGCTTTCATTCAATCATGTAAGCGAGCGTTCAATTTTATAAAGCCATGTTGTTCAAATTTTAAATTGTAAGCTCAGTTTACAAGTCACTCTGCATCTCGTAATACAGTCAGATTTTTAACCATGTCTCTTACCTTCAACTGAGATGTCCTGTATAGCGAAGCGGAGGATGATGGTCCAGATCATGCCCAGCGTCATCTTCACGTTGCCGTCGACAATCTCTTTAGGGAAGAAAACCAACAACAGATCAGTGTGAAGAAAACGTAGTCAGTACATAACATTTTCCTGTAAGTTATGTTTTCCATACATTTTAACTTCAGAGTTACTGGAAAAAATATATATAGAAAGACCAGTTTTATGTTTTCATAAGTGTCGCAGTGTGTCTAGTTATAAATACAATATTCATAACCAAATGTTTCCTGTTTAAATGAATTTCTGAGTTAATAACAAGCACAAATCTTACATATGCATAATCACTGAAAACAACACATGAGCTCCTCAAGTTTAAAGACTAAATGAGCTACGGTTCTAAATTTAGTCATGCCCCCTCGTCCTCGGGGGATACATTCCAAGACCCCCAGCGGACGCCTGAAGCTGAGGACGGTCCTCAGCCTTGTACACGCCGCGTTATTCCCACACCTATACACCCGTTCCCTAACGGAAGCACTTGCGGCTCCTCTTTGGCACGTCCGAATTGCCAACGTCGCTGCTCCCTGCTCTGGGGCCGTGATTAAGAAACGAACGGTGACTTGAACACAAGCACCGCGGTATCGCCACAGTGGATCTGATATCTGTGGGGCTACTAAGTGACTAACTGGCAAGGGGCACCAACAGCGTGGAGACAAGGGGCGAAGCGATGATTCACTTCCCAGGATGGAGAGGGACAGGCCAAGATTTGATCACACTACTCAGAACGGTAAACAACTTAAAAACTTACGCATTATTTCCAGAATTCTCCACTTCATATTTTTGGCTTATGGTTGACTATGGGTAACCGAAACCACGGGAAGCAAAATGGCTGAACTGGGGGGACCAAGTACGGAGAACACAGGCTCATCGTCACCCTGGCCCTCCCTCCCGCCCCCAGCTGGCAGGTCCACGGGCGGCGTGTGTAACGGCAGGCAGGGGCTCCCGATCTCCCACAGAGAAGGGAGACGCCCCCTTCCCTCCCAGGCACGAGTTCTCACTGGGAGTCGATGGGACGTATTCATTCTTCCTCACTCCCACCGCAGGTTTGGAGTGGATGGCATTCTATTTGGCTGTTCTTTTCAAATAGTCCTGGAGCCTGGCCTGCCTTGCACGGCACCGCCTGTTCTCATCTGTCTGTGCCCAGAGCCAGCGGACAGCCTGGCCCCCGGGGCACCCGGGCGGGCCCACAGCCACCGTGACCCCGTGCGGCGTCAGCCCCGCCCCCATCACAGCTCACCTTCGGCCCCGATGGACACCAGTTTCACGCCTTTGCTGGCTATGTAATCCAAGGCTTTGTTGACATTGGCAATTTTGTGGAATCGCATTTTTCCTCGGTCAGGTTTGGGCAGCCTTTCCCCTGTCAGGTGAAAACAGGTCAGTGTAGAAAGAGAAGGCAACCCCCACCCCACCCCGATGGGGAACTGAAGTGCCAAAGTTCAGAGTCCTGCTCTCCTCGTGTGGAAGTGGGTGTCTGTTTCTGGTGTGCCCCTGGTTTCTGAGTCACAGCACAGGGGGAACATTCACCAAAAGTGCCTGAGAGCAAACGGACCGGTGGGGAGCCACACTACTACAGCTGCTCGCTTCTCAGATCTGCTGAGTGTCCAGCTGGGCCTATGAGCCAACTGCAAAGGAGTGAAGAGGGAAGCCGTTGGTGTCCCGGAGCACCTGGGGCTGCTAACTCGCTGTCCGAGGAGGGCAGGGCAGCCTGGTTCAAGTCTCAGAGGCGGCAGCCAGGGCTCCACCCAGACACCTGATTGTGGATCAGGCAGACTTGCCATTACCCTTCCCAGTCACGCCTCCGCAGAGGCGATCCATTCTCCAGTCCAAAGCCTAAACCAGCCGACTGAATGACATTCAGGGCAAAGCACAGCCCCGAGTCCGGCCGACGCGCACCCGGGACTTCTGCTTGACAGGCAGGCTCTGGAATACACACAGGCTGGACTAGGAGTGCAGAGGGCGGCACGCTGGGTCGTCACGTAAGTGCCATTTTTGCTCTTATTTTGTTTCAAAGGGGGGTGAGATAGGAACACTACCTTAATATGCCAAATCTAAACAGAATACACTCCCTTTTTAAACAGAAAAATAACTCTCAGCAGACGGCTCTTTGAGAGGCTTTCTTTTCCAATAACACCACGTTCTTGCCCAGCGGGTTCAAGGGAACTTGGGAGCAGCATGTGTGCCTAGAGGTCAGTCTGCTGCTCACAGGCACGAGGGCAGGGCGGGTGTGGCCCCGAAGAGATGCTTCCCACCAACCTGAGATGACTTCCAACAGCAGCATGAGCTTCAGGCCGTTCCTGAAGTCCTCCTCGATGTTCTCGATCTGGGTGCCAGCTTTCCTGAGGTGGGAGTTACACCAGGCAGTGAACGTCTGCAAGAGAGAGCACCTGGCTCAGCAGGGCCTGCCGGGCGGACCCTCCACGGGGCCACACGCTGCGCCTCACACCTTCGGGGGCGTCTAAGGGGCTGGAGCTTCTTGGGCCATCAAACAGAATGCAATGGAAAGAAGGATGTGGGGCCCAAGGCTAAGATTTTAGCAAAATTTCCTCTTTAGAGACAAAAACCTTGTATTTTGTATATCAACCAGAGGACATTTTGCCTTCAGTTTGAAAAGGTACCACGTTCACACCTATGCCTTCACCTTCTGAAAACTCTTCCTGTGTGTGCAACAAAAATAAACTTGCCTGCAAAATGGATGAACAAATAATGTATAAAGACTATCTTACTTCAGAGCAGAGGGTGGGTGGTATTGTGTAGCAGACAGGGGAAGAGAGGAGGGGCCTATCACCACTAATTACCTAGGAGCTGTCCCGGAGAAACAACAGTCTTAAACTAGTTAACTAGTCAATTAAACAAATTCGCGGTATCATCAATCTTCAAAAAAACCCAAAAAACAGTAGCAGTGGTGATAATAACCTCCTCCCGGCTCAGACCCGGGTTTCAAAGACGGTCAGACACAGGGCCGCCCCGGAAGGGCTCACGGTCTGGTCACACGAGCGAGCTTCCAGGCAACCTTCAGAGGGAGACAGGCTGCACGTGAGGCGGCACCCAAAGGCATTCTGTTTATTTTTCAAGCTTCTTTGAACTTGGCTTCCACTTGTGCACTATTTCCTGCCAAAACCAGATTAGAAACACTCTTGGCAGCTGCTGGCTCTGAATGTGAACTGTCCCCATCTCTCAACAGCTGCCGGGCTCAAGAACAAAGTGCCCGCGTGTTACACCAGGCGGAGACACACGAGTAAGCTGCATTATACACGGGAAAGCGAGCCACTCAGAAATAGACCGTCCCAAGGAAGATTACCAACAGTTTCCATAAAGATGATTTTCCTGGGTAATAAAGAGGATTTTCAAATCTGACTGACAGTCACTTATTGCAAGAAATGTGACGGCATTAAATTCTAGGGCAAAAAGAAAATATAGGCATTTTCTTGGATTTGCAACAAATTTTCCCCTGACAACCTAAACTGATAACTACTTTTCCTAAAACATATGTAAATTTTAGTCAAGTCTAAACAGAAGAGGCACTCTAAGCCATATATTCCAGTTCTGTACCCAACCCAGGAGGAAGGCACTAGCCCCATGGAGCTATTTAAATGTAAGTTAAAATTAGAGGAAACTACAGTGTTAGCTCCTGGGCTGCACAAGCCACCTTCTGAGAGCTCAAAGCCACACGTGGCTCGTGGCTGCTGTGTTGGGCGGCGCAGATGCAAACCACCCCCAGCATCACGGGAAATTCTTTTCAACAGCACTACCCTTCGTAAACAAGTTCTGTTCTGTGAAGCTGTGATTATTACAGAAGTCTATAATTTATTTACACAAATATGAATTCTATGTGTCTGCTTTTCAAATAGGTAATGCATTTCCTTAGTTCAAAATTCTAGTGGCACGAAAGGCTCAGAGGGGCAGCCTCCCAGCACCCTTGCTCAGGGGACAGGTGTCAGCGCCCAGGAGCAACCCCCATCCCTTCAACACAGCCCTGGAGTGCACAGCATTCCACATCGGTGGAATCGTTTCTTCTTATGGCAGAAGAATATTCCACTGCGGGATGTATACCATGCTTTATGCAACTTCATGTAACTAGCTCCCTGCGGACAGATGCTGAGGGTGTTTGCAGATAATTAAGTTCTTTCACTAAAAAACTTTGCAAGCTCCAAACACCGCAAGGAAAACCCTTTAAAGGTGGTGTTTCCTAATGAATAATGCTGTGACTAATCACATACCTAGCTTTCCGGAAAGGCACAAGAGAACAGCAGGTTGAGTTTTTCAAGTGGCATTGGAAGAAAATATGATATAAAATATTTATACAATTGTTTTTATTTAGATTCTACTTAAAATGGGCAAATATTGCTGGTGTAAATTACCTTACCTTGTTACCATGTTAAGTCCCTTTGTGATAAAAGTATCAGAAGCGCTTCTGGACCACCACAAGCTGCTCATGAAATCAGTGCAAGCTTCCTGACCCTGCTCTGGAATCTTGTAAATTCTGTCTTATGCTACCTTTCTATAGGTCTACATACCATAAAGGTAAATTGCCAAAAGCAATTTCAGCTGTGCAATCCAGAAAACAGATTTAACCATAAAGTCAATTTTTGAGTTAAGTCTAATGAAGTATCCCTATCTTTTAACAATTTTTAATTTTTCTATTATATTTGATACAATATCTTTTTAGTTTCAGATGTATAACATAGTGATTAGACCTTTATAGACCTCACAAAGTGATCACCCCAATAAATCTAGTACCCATCTGACACCGTACAGTCATTACAATATTACTGACTATATTCCCTATGCTGTACTTTACATCCCGGTGACTATTTTTGTAATTACCAACTTGCACATCTTAATTCCTTCCCCTTTTCACCCTTCCCCCAGCCCCCTCCTGTCTGGCAGCCATCAGTTTGCTTTCTGCATCTGAGTTTGTTTCTGTTATTTGTTCATTTATTTTGTCTTTTAGATTCCACATATAAGTGAAATCATACAGCATTTATCTTTGTCTGACTTATCTCACTCAACACAATACCCTTTAGGTCCACCCATGTTGCTGCAGGTGGCAAGATTTTGTTTTTTTCTCCTTATCCTCCCCTGAGGACATGTTTTCACTGATTTCAGAGAGGTAGGGAGAGAGAGAGAGAGAGAAACACTGATATGAGAGGGAAACATCAATTGGCTGCCTCCTGTATGCACCTGAATCAGGACTTGAACCTACAACCTAGGCATGTGCCCTGACTAGGAATTGAACCGGTAACCGTTTGGGGCACAAAACGATGCTCTAACCATATGAGCCAAGTGGCCGGCCCAAAATTTTATTCTTTCTTATGTCTGAGTCTTATTCTATTGTATCTATGTATACCACTTCATCTTTATCATTAATCTGTTGGTGGGCACTTAAGCTGTTTCTGTATCTTGGTTCTTGTAAATAACACTCCAATGAACACAGGGTGTTTACATTCTCTCACATTAGTAATTTGGGTTCCTTTTCAGATAAACACTCAGAAGTGGAATCGCTGGGGCTTTGTCCCTTGTTACAGCCTTTGTTTTAAAGTCCGTTTTGTCTGGTGTAAGTATTGCTACCCCGGCATGTTTCTTGTTTCAGTTTTCATGAAATGTCTTTCTCCGTCCCTTTACTTTCACTGGGTGTGTTTTTCGATCTGAAGTGAGCCTTGTAGGCAGCATATGTGTGGGTCTTATTTTCATATTCATTCAGCCACCCTCTGTCTTTTGATGGGAGCATTTAATCCATTTACATTTAAAGTAATTGTTGATATGCTGTCACTGTCTTTCTATTATTTATATTTTTTAACTTTTTTCCTTCTTTTAAAGAAGTCCCCTTAACGTTTCTTATAATACGGCTTTGATGGTTATAAGCACCTGCAGCTGTTTCTTGTCTGGGATGCCTGGTGTGGGGCTGGGACGCTTGCCCCTTGGGCAGCTCCGCAGCTGAGAGATGCCTCCTGATTTCTAACCCTTGCACGTGGGCATGGGGCCGGCCCATTCCACGCCTCTGCCCCTCTGGCCAGTCTGGATGTTGTTTCTTCTGAAAATCCTTAGGTGTAGGGCCTCTGTTGAGCTAGACTTCAGGTGGTACGCAGTGATGGTTGTTCCGTAGGGTAGCGGTAACTCCGACGTGGCCGTGGGGGGATTCGAGAAGGGCGTGTACCTGGACTGCCATCGGGACTGGAAGCGAGTGTCCCTACCTTTGGTGACCACCCCTCAGAGCCAATCAGTGGCGCCTCAACAACTTAAAAGTGAAAAGGACCCCAACGGCTGGGTGATAACAGCTCACGAAGAGGTCAGTGCCGTCTCCGTATCATTTCATTCTATTTAGTTTCAAATCCCACAGCCTACGGTGACTGTTCCTACCATTTCCCATTGTCCTGGGTTTCCATGAAAAGCCTGAATATGTAGAGGACTTAAAAACAACACCACAGCACAGCAACCAAACCCCACCCGTTTTACTTGAAGGTTTCCGTGTGGATTTTCTTGCTCTCTGAGAGCAACAGGCCTCTCTAAGGTCTGTGGGAACCAACCCCTGGAACACTAAGATGGACAGACGTCCCGGCTCCTTGGTTCCAACGAGATTATAAGGGCTGTGCCTTCCTAAGAGAAATGGTGTCTATGAACTGGACACAGACCATCCAGGAAAGAGGCCAAGCCTCCCAGCCCACGGCTAACTCGGAAGCTGCCGTGTCACCTCTGCCCTCAGCCCTTCCTGCACCGCCCTCCCTCGGGCAGAGTGGCCTTCCCCCCGCAACTCCGCGCCTCGCCTCCTAGTGCAGGGAACTGCGAAGAGAGGCCACATAAGCACCTGCTTGTGGAAAGGAAACGCAGATGCTTCCAGGCCTCGTTCCCTTACAAAGAAGCTCCTGACAAGGCTAAGGGGCAGTGCCAAGTCACCACCGAGCGAAGGTGGACAGCAGTGGGAGTCCCGGCCTCCCTGCGCGTGCCCCGCGGACACGGGCGCAGACCTCGGCCTCTTCCCCACACGTGAGGGGTGACAACCCCGGAGTCACGGGCCGGGCCGGGCAGGCCTGCAGGCGTGGACTGGCCCCTTTCATGTTGATTGAAAGCTCTTTCAATCAAAATGAGTAATATCAGTGATTATTTATATCACTTACAAAGTACACTCACATAACGCAAGTCCACATCTTCACCTGGATGAGTTTATCGCCTGGGTACATAAATAAAGACAAAAAAAACCAACGTTGAGTCTGACACAACTGTGGATATGAGCACATTTCATGTGACTACTCATTATCACTGCTTTTAGATAAGTCTTGCAGGGCTGGCTTCTGAAAGTATAGATGTTCAACTTATTTTGTCACTTTTTCCAAACAAAAAATTTGGAAACACAACATTTGTAAACCTCCTTTA